ATATAGAAATAAACTGCATTCACTTATGAATAAAACAAAACGGAATTATTATAAAAATAAGATTTTAGAGAATTCAAATAGCAATAAACAATTGTGGAGTGTAGTGCAAGATCTTAGTGGTACTAAAAAAGGAAAAATGCCTATCGACAGTCTTAAAAACCAAATGGGAAAGATATTGACTCATCCCTCCGATATTGCAAATGAATTTAATAAGACGTTTTCGGAGATGGGCAAAATATTGGCTGAACAAATCATTAGCAACTCCCGCCAGGTATATGATAATACCTCCTTGGCAAACTCAATGGTTTTACTACCTACAAATACATTTGAAATGAAAACAATAATAAATCAACTGAAAAGTAAAAAGGCCACTGGCATTGACGATATTAATTCAGAATGTCTGAAAACAATTTCACCATACATACTCGAACCATTGGTTCACATTTTCAATATATGTATGGAAGAAGGAATATGGCCCAAAGCCTTCAAAACAGCAGTAGTCATACCAATATACAAAAGTGAAGACAAAACTCTTGCTCTAAACTACCGACCTATATCGCTTATTCCACACATGTCTAAAATATTTGAATTATTACTTAATAATAGACTTACAGCATACATCAAAAAGTATAATTTAATTTCTGCTAACCAATTTGGTTTTAAGCTAAATACTTCCACACAAGATGCCGTTTTGAATCTAACATCAAAAGTGTATGAAGCTCTCAACAATAATAAAGTTTGCTTATGTGTATTTCTAGATTTGGCCAAAGCTTTTGATACTGTCAGTCATAGTAAACTCTTACAAACCTTAGAGAAAGTTGGTATAAGAGGCAACTGTCTTCAACTATTCAGAAGTTACCTATCTGAGAGGCAGCAGGTAGTAAGGGTTTCCGAAACAATAAGCGGACAAAGAGGTATAACGTATGGAGTGCCTCAGGGAACAGTGTTAGGACCTGTCTTATTTAATCTATATATAAATGGTTTATTTTCATTGCAAAGTACAGGGCATATAATTGGGTTTGCTGATGACACGGCTATTGTTTATGAAGCCGATAACTGGTATGACTTAAAAATAAAAGCAGAAACTGATCTACAATTCATAAAAGACTGGTTTGATTATAAAACACTTACAATAAATTTAAAAAAAACTGTTTATTTACCAATTTCTAACTATACCCCTAATATTGATCTATTCGAACCTCTTCGAATAACACATAATAAACACAATTCTTGCATCAAACCAGTAACGAATGTTAAATATTTAGGTGTTATAATAGACACACACCTAAAATGGGATTGTCACATTAAATACGTTATTAAAAAGTTACAGTTTATCCTCTATAAATTTAAGCACCTAAAAAAACACATACCGGATATATACCTTCGCACACTATATTATGGATTAGTAGAAAGTCATCTCCGTTATGGTATACTGGCTTGGGGAAGCGCCCTAAAAACTCACATTCTCCCACTAGAAATCATGCAAAGAAGATTTCTGAGGATAATTATGGCTAAACCCTACACTTGTTCTACAGATAGACTATATAAGGAGAGCAAAATATTTGACTTAAAGCAGTTATACTTTCTTTGTATATCTGTAAAATTTCACACCATGAAAGTTAAAAGCAACTTACCTTCACATGGATATCATACTAGAGGCAAGCACCTCTATATGGCTCCAAAAATGACGAAATCTTTCTGTCAACGATCTTTCTTATTTTTAGCCCCTAAAATATACAATCATATTCCCTTGATATTAAAAATACGAAGAATGTCTTTCTCTTTAAAAATAAATTAAGATTATATCTCATGGAACAGACAAGACATTTTTGTAATATCATTATAGTAGCATAAGTTATAAAGCCATATTCACTTAAACTTTAATTTTAAATCTACTCCTTTCAAAGATAATTTAAAAAAAGAAAAAAAAAAATATATATATATATAATATATCGTGTTGTTTTTATTGTTTTATTTAATGTGTTTATCATATTTATATTGAAGCATGTGTGTTTACACTTTTGTCCTTTCAAAAATCTTGTTAACTAATTGATTCATACATAAGTGCTGTATTCATATCAAGGGTTTCTACTAAAATTTTAATTATAGTTATTTTATGATTCAAAAAGCAGTATATATTATTGTATTGTATACATTGTATTCTTTATTTTATTTAGCATATTTACCTGAACATAATTTGTATATTTGCAGATCTCGTTAAAAACTTATTAGTATCTAAGTTTAATTTTATTATACATCTTTGATTATTGTATCTAAATTTTCAATCTGCTTGTTTTTTATGGTTATATTTATATTATATATATATATGTGTGTATATGTGTATATGTGTATGTATGTATGTATGTGTATATATGTATATGTATGTATATATGTGTATATATGTATGTGTGTATGTATGTATGTATATATGTGTATGTGTGTGTATGTATATGTATGTGTGTGTATATGCATATATGTGTGTATATATTTATACTTTAGTATATTATATTGTATTTTTATTTATTATATGTTACATTTACCGAAACAGGTGTCCCCACACCTCTCGGAGACCTACGGGTTAATTTATTCACATATTGTTAATTATTGAAACAAATTTTGTATGATTGTTGAATAAATTATTATTATTATTATAATAGTAAATTTTTATTATTTTATTTTAGAATTAGGAAATTTGAAATTTTCATATAGGAAAAGCTATAAGCTTTTCAACCTAGCCCTAGAAGACGTCTTCAAAACTACAAATTGATCAACCTATGGCATCAACGTTAATGACAACAAGTTAAACCACCTCAGATTCGCTGACGACATAGTAATTATAGGGAGCACATTCGAGGAACTGCAAATTATGTTCGTGGAACTAGCAGTCAGTTACCAATACGTCGGCCTAAAAATGAATATGAAAAAAACAAAAAATTATGACAAACACAGAAGACCCCAGACATATAACTATAAACGGTAGTGAGATAGAACAAATCCAGGAATATATCTACCTAGGCCAAATCCTGAGACTTGACAAAGAGAACCAAAGTGCGGAAATTACTAGAAGAGCAAGACTAGCATGGGCAGGATTTGGAAAACTTAGTTGGATACTTAAGAACCGCAAAATACCCCAATACTTCAGGAGCAAAGTGTTCAACCAATGCATCCTTCCTATCATGACATATGGATGTCAAACCTGGACCCTAACCAAGGCCAACATGAATAAACTAGCCACAACAGAAAGAACACTGGAAAGAGCAATGTTAGGTATACGACTGTCAGATAAAAAGAGGAACGACTGGGTAAGATCTAAAACAAAAGTCGAGGACATAACAATAAAAATTGCAAAACTTAAATGGAGCTTCGCGGGCCACACAGCTAGACAGAAAGACCAACGTTGGAATACTACAATACAACATTGGATACCTTACGAAAATAAACGACCAAGAGGAAGACCACAGATGAGATGGGTTGATGACATTAGAAGAATTCTTCTTCTTCAGATGCAAAACCACTAATGGATGTTAGCGATCATATTTTCCATTAAATTTCTATTTCTTGCAATATGTATCAGATATTGTATGTCGTCAATCCCTGTCCATTGCCTTATGTTTCGGAGCCAGGACATTTTCTTGCGTCCCATTCCTCTCTTGCTTTCAATTTTACCCTCGCTTATAAGTGGGAGGAACTGGTATTTTTCATGTCGCATGATGTGACCTAGATACGCCGTTTTCCTTTTCTTGATGGTTTCGATGATTTTCTTGATGATTAGAAGAATAGAAGGAACAAATTGGAAATATGTTGCTCAGGATAGAGACCGATGAAAGGAGTTGGGAGAGGCCTATGTCCAAATATGGACGACAGAAGGCTAAGAAGAAGAGATAACCGAATATCACAAACTGGACATAGACGTTAATGAATACACAATTTGGTTTTCGTAAAGGCCTAGGAATGCGTGAAGCTCTTTTTTCACTGAATATACTGATACAAAGATGCCTGGACGTCAATCAAAATGATTACGCATGATTTATTGACTATAATAAAGCATTCGATAAAGTACGACATAAACAATTAATGAATGTCCTGAAATCAAAGAAGATTGACTACAAAGGCCTCAGGTTCATATCAAATTTATACTATAAACAGCGAGCAAAAGTACGTGTTAATGAACAGCTGTCAGAAGAAATTGAAATTAGGTGTGGAGTGAGACAGGGATGCGTATTGTCGCCAGTTCTTTTTAATGCCTACTCCGAAGAGATCATGAATAACGCTCTTGAGGTGAAACAGTTGGAATAAAGGTAAATTGAGTTCCCATTAACAACAATATATATGCAGACGACACTGTAATTTTAGACGAAAACATTGAAGATCCTCAGAGAAATATGGTCTAACAATGAATGTCAAGAAGACGAAATTTATGAGAATATCGAAAACTCAAAGAAATAACGAGAATATTCTAATAAACGGAACCAACGTCGAACAAGTGGACAAATATGCATATCTTGGAACAATAATTAACTCCACAAATGATTACAATTAGGAGATCAAAATAAGAATAGAAAAGGCTAGAGCAAATTTCAACAAAATGAGAAGAGTGCTATGTACCAGGGATTTAAAACTGGAACTAAGAGTTAGGTTGGCGAGGTGCTATGTATTTTCAACTTTACTTTATGGAATGGAGTCTTGGACCTTGAATGCAAGATCAATGAAAAAATGAAAAAAACTGGAATCATTCGATCTGTGGGTGTACAGAAGAATATTAAAAGTATCGTGGACAGAACACGTCACAAAAAAAGAAGTTCTCTGTAGAATGAATAAAGAAATGGAAATTTTAAATACAGTAAAAACCAGAAAATTAGAATATTTCGGACATATTATGAAATATGAAATATAAAATTTATGGCATCCTAACGTGTAGACTTTAGTTAGGGTACATGTGCTACCTATTAATGACTATCCTAATTAAAAAAAAAATACCTATTACTATAATATTTACTTACCAAGCTCTATTATTTTGCCATTGAAAAACTATGTTATAATCTCAATTTAACCAAACACAACGAAACTTTTACACAAAACTGACTCATTGTGAAAAGTCATAAATATGATAATACAATCTAAAGTTTAATAACTTCAAATTTACTGGCGTTTAAAATCGGTTAAATTCTCAATTATTTGCTATCATACCGAGACTATTCTAAGTTTAAATAATTAAATTTATCTTGTTTTAATAAAATTAAAGTACCCAAATATACAGAGACAGGCCAAAATATATAGGTAATCCCATTAATGCAAAAATACATGGGTGGGTTACGATTACAACTCAATTTAGATTTCTGCTAACTGGAAGAAGTATTATATGAATATCTTGGAACTCACTTTTTAATACCAGACAATACATGTTATTTTAGGGCTAGAGGCTACGTGAAGTCCTTCGTATACGAACCTATCGCTGAAATTGTGGTAGATCCTATAACCAGATAATACCACGATACCATAATAGCATTACAGCAGCTTATAAAATGAAATATGGACACAGAAATCCCTCCCCAATGATTGGAATATTTGAATACTTTGCACCATACACAAAATGAGATATCTTTGAATGCTCTAACCACAGAAGAATTACGTTTTTAAATGCAGCGTATAACAAATTTTCCACAGTAATAGGTCATCGTATGGTACCATATGCAGAACGAATAGTAAGAACATACCAGGCTGGTTTCAGAGGTTGCAAATCGACAATTCATCAGATTGCAACCCTAAAGCAAACTTTAGGGATATGGCATAAATACTTATCACATATTTATATACTAAAACGTATATAGCATCCTACAACTCTGTGAATAGAAGATTCAATGCAATTAAAAAGTCAGAAATACCAAATCGATTGGTAAATTTAACAAAACTAACTCTTGAAAAAGTTGAATAAAGTGTACGAATTCAGAGGGAACTGTCTGAACCTTATAAAACAAATAACAGGCAGCACCAGAGAGACTCTCTCTCCTGTATACTGTTCAATCTGGCTCTGAAAAAGTAATACGTGTGTCACAAAATACAACCACTGGTTTAATATATAAGAAATTAGTGCAAATCCTGGGCTATACTGATGATATCAATATTGTTGGAAGAACGGAAAGCGCTGTACGAGAGGCGTATGTAGCATTAAAAGAATCAGCTAAAAATAAAATTAGTTGAGAGATATTTAATTCAACTCAAAAATCAACATCAAAATCAACTCAATCAATAATTCAACTCACTGTAGCAAGTGAAAATTATTAAAAGCAAGGCAAAGATGATAATAATAGATAGCTTTGGATGGACTGCGAGCATAGGCGTTTGGATTACTTTATGACGCAGCTACTCATAGGATATGGTTGCTTCAAGGCATACCTTTACCGATTTGAAAGTGATGAAAATGATAAACGGCTGTACTGTGAAATATTCGACACTGTCTCACACACTCTATTGGTATGCGATAGATGGATAGATGAGAGGAGTCTGCTTGAGAGAGAGACAGAGACAGAGAGAGAGAGAGAGAGAGAGAAGAGAGAGAGAGAGAGAGAGAGAGAGAGAGAGAGAGAGAGAGAGAGAGAGAGAGAGAGAGAGAGAGAGAGAGAGAGAGTTAGGAAGTAGGTTGCAATCAGTCACGAAACTGGTGGAGGAGATGATTAGATGGTCAGATCTGCGGAGAGCAGTTTAGAGAAATGTGAGGAGAACATTTTAGGGAAAGGAACAGGAGGAATCGCAGAGTGCCCAGAAGCAAGCAAGTAGACAAGCAGAATGAGAAAGGGCGAGGTTGAACATGAACAGGGAGGAACAGAGAGAGAGAATAATTTAGTCGTACTGAGAATACGTGAGAATTGTACGTGAATGAGAGATCTGGTGAAGGCCATGCCGATGTTGTGTCCCAATCAGGGCAGTCCGGCTGGTAATTCACCGCTTAGTAGGGTGTCTCTTTAGCAGATAGGTCTCTGGCATTGACGGCGATGGTGGTCGAACAACCACTGCGTAGGGTCTCGGATATCATCGTGGCCACGCTGGAGGAATTCTGCATAACCAAGTCTGAAAGGCGGTTCTGCCCACCTTCTAGGACCGAGGTATATTTCGAATATTTGGACTACCCCCACTTATAAAAGACTAAAAAAAGGTTCTATGATTATATATGATTATATATGATATAACTAACGATAGAACTTGCGAACGAGAGGTTTAAAGGCGAATTAAGATTTGGAAACAATCACAATGTGATAATAAAACAATAATTTCTTTAATATTAGGGTGAAAAAGATCAAAACCATCTACAACAATTCTTCAGTTCTTAGATACAATACTTGTTTACAGTATATTAGAATGAGCATCTAGTTGAGTGTATTAGAGAAAATAACAATACTTAGTTGGAGAGTAACGACATAAGAGAGAGATTACAGTCACGCCAGAAATAACTACACTTCTTCTTCTTTCCGTGACATGTCCATTACTAAGCTTTGGTTATCATAGTTTTATTCACCGCAGCTCTAAGAATGTATGACGAAGACTGATTAAACCGCTCAAGTAGGTTACGAAGCAATTATGTTCTTTTTTCCTCTTTCTACATATTTTGCCATGAATAATAAGATGAAAGATTTCATAACGTTTAGGTGATGCATGACATGGACAAAACAGTCTAATTTTCGTATTGTTACGTTGCTAATACCATTTGTGATTCTGTTAACCCAACCACATTTCGAAAGCTTGAAGTTTATTTAATAGTGATATAGTGAGTGTGCAACTTTTAATTCCATGCAATAATGTCGAAATGATGTAACATGTGACGAGTTCATTTTCAGGTTATTGTTAATATTCCATCCACATATTTTGACTCTTTGATCATACCCCAATTGTCATTTATATTTGAACCCAGATAATTAATGTCAGTTTTTTTTTCAGTACCATATGCTGTAATTATTATATCTTTACTATTTATCTTATCAGTCACACTTTTAATATCTGAGTAAAACTTTTGTTACTTGTCATCATTGCTTTCTGCTGTTGGTGCATATAGGTACTTGAGTTGGATGTATATTAGCAGTTTTGGACCTTAATTGCATCATGCGTGTTACAAAAATAATAATGTTTATATGTTCAAAAAAGTTAAAATTAACAATTAATGTATACGGCGAAATCTAGTTATTACATACATTGACGCCAAAATGGGATATCTTACATTAACGCCGCAATCACAAAAAAAGTCACTGAAAGTGAAATCCTAAGGAAACTACAAAAAACAACTAAAAAAGACAGGTCAAGAAGGTTTTAAGATAAATGTAATTCGAAAGGCTGATCGTGTATAAAGATAAAGCATTTATATTTATTCGATAGGTGCTGCTCTTCTAAATTTCTGTTTCTAACTTTAAACAAACATTAAGAAAAACATTTGAAATTGATATGTTTGATAGTACAAAAACATGGTTCTGTTAACACATAAATCAGCAATCTTCACTACTTATGAAAATATTTCATTTTCCCTATCTGATATACAATTTCCTACCTACTAGCAATAGCTGAGATAAAATGATTGCTAGAGTCAATATATAAATATGTAGTACTCTTACCCAAGATATAGTTCAAATAAGTTCCTCTTCTGAAAATTTACAAGTTCAAAACATCACACAACAATTTTAGATAAAAGTTTGAGATTTGAATACCTACTATTTTACATAAGAAGAAGTATCCCCCACTGTATGAAGGCTGGCAACTATTAGCTCATATACCTATTTCAATTTGTATCAATAATTTGAAGGTTAGCATATATTTCCTGTAGCATTGGTTCCTATTTATCATGTCAATGTTTCGTACTTCCTAAAACTCTTTCATATTGTTGAGTTTTGGATTTGTTTTTTTAACGGATATGCCAATTTTTCTCTACGTCTTCGATTTCTGTATTCAAACTTAATCATTAATTGGATTGAGTTTAAATATTACCAGCAATCTCGCAAGTTCTTCAACAATGAGGTTGTTCTTCATCCTGGACTTCATTTGCCTGTTATTTTTCCTTGCATATTTTGTAGCAATCTATATTTGGGACCTCTCATTACATGTCCGAAATACTTAAATTTTCTCTGCTTGCTGCTTTTTATGATCTCTCTGTGTTCTTGCTGAGACGTTCCAGTATTGTGGAGTTTCGAATCTTCTCCACCCAGGAAACTTTTAAAATTCTTTTATAGCACCACATTTCAAAAGCCTTAAGGCGATTTAGATCGATTTTATTCACAGTCCAGGACTCGATACCATAAAGTATTACCGAGAACACGTAGCAGCGAAGTAGGCGGATCCTCAATGCCAATTTTAGGTCTCTGTTACATACAGAGTATGTACATGTATAAATGGTATTTAAAAACGAAGTTATAGCCTCTAAAACATTGCTATCATTATTAAGCTTGTATATTTCAGTTGGAATCTCGTCAGGATAAGTCGCTCTACATATATAAGTCTATAATAATCTTTTGATGATTGTATGGCTTTTATAACCTCAGAGCGAGTTATTAGGGGTCCGTCGTAGTTAGTAATATCAGGAGGTGATCTACTTATATCGCCTTCGAATAGGTTCGTGACGTAATTTTCCCATTCTTTAAGTCTGTCCTCTACTTCAAATATTACTTTACCATGTTCATCTTGTAGCAATGCAGTTTGTTTCTTATTGAAGATACCAGCCGCTTCTTTCTCTTTTTTAATACATGTTAAACGTGTCGTATCTGTTTTTAAGTTCTTTAATGTCATGACACTGTTTGGCTAGATGTTGACTCTTTGCTTCTCGTATTTTAAGTCGAATTTCTTTTTGTATGCTGTTGTAAAGTGTTTCATTGTTTTTCGCTAGTCGCCGTTGTTAAATCAAATCCAATATGTCATCTGTCATCCAAGCCTGCTTTTTTAGCTTTGGCCTGCGTTGTAAAGTTCTCACACAGATTTCTTTTGTAGTTGTCAAATTTTCGTTCAGTTGTCTTTGAACTGATTCCTTAACTTTCATCATCATCATTGACTTTTACAACTCTTCGTGAGTTTTTGCCGCGTTTACTATTGCCTTCCATTGATTCCGATCCTGTGCTATTATTTCCCATGGCCTTACTTCCATCTTCTCCAGGTCTTCCCTGACAGCGTTTCCACCTTTTTCTAGGCCTTCTGTCGATCTTTTACCATCTGGTCTTTTCCAAAATACATTGCTAATCAGTCTGTCATCACTCCGTACCACGTGGCCTGCCCATCTTAATCTATTGGCTTTTATGTATCTTACGATGTTGCCTTTCCCGAAGAGAGTCTCTATTTCATTGTTGTATCTGCTCCTCCATTCATTTGTCACGCTGTCCCTGCAAGGACCATATATAATTCGCAGGATTTTGCGTTCCCATACTAATTCCTTAACTTTCTAGACTTGTAATTGGTCTGTGTCAATATTTTTGCGAGACTTCTTTTGAATCACCTTTTTGGTAATAAAAATTTTAGAGAGTTTACAATTGGAGATTGAAAATCTGTGAAGATTTAAAATTTGTTTGCATGCTACTTCATCAATAAAGGGGGTTTACGAAGTATCCACGTCTTATTTGTGAATGAGACAGTGGAGCAAGAGATAAACACTGGTTCACATAACAATGACCTATAAGAAATGTTTTAACACCTGGCGAGAAAAATATATTGTACAAAACTTTGTTAGATTCAAAAAATATCCTTCCTCCACCTCTACACATCAAGTTAGGCTTAGTGAAACAGTTTGTCAAGGCCCTGCCTAAAGATGGAGAATGTTTCAAGTACTTGAGTAAAAAAATTCCCCATCTATCAGAAACCAAATTGAAAAAAAGTGTTTTGTTGAACCAGATATTTGTAAAATGATGTTCGACTCCACCTTTGAAACCAAGATGACTATTAAGAAAAAAGAAGCTTGGATTGCATTCTAAAAAGTTGTAACCAAGTTTTTAGATACTGTGAAAGATCCTAGCTACGAGCTCATAGTAGCTAATTTATTAGATATGTTTAAAGATTTAAGATGTATAATGAACCTTAAAATCCACTTTTTGCATACGCATCTTGACTTTTTCACTGGAAATCTGGGTGATGTCAATCGACTAGGATATCAAAGTGATGGAGAAACGTTACCAAGGACGTTGGAACACCAACATGATGTGTGATTACTGTTGGTCACTTCATCGGGAACAACAGAGTGTTTCGCATAGAAGAAAAAGCTACTTGAGAAGCTTTACAGAAAAAAGAGAAAGAAAATACAAAAGCATTGACTCCTGAAATGATTGTACAGACATGACAATGATTTACAACATAAGAATTACATAGATAAAAGGTATTGTTCTAATAAAGTATCATTTTAATGTATTTCTGTATTTTGTCTTTTTGAAATTATTATAATGTAAGTAAATAAATCTGTGGCACATTATGAAAAAACTGTGGGTGGTATGCAAAATCTAATTTCAGATTCTTTTTGAACGCCAAAAAAATACATAGAATTCACATAAATTTGAAAGAAAAGTTTTAAAAATCTTTTTTTTGCTGGCCTGTCAATTATTGTCCTCTTTTTGAATCCCACAGATGAACTAAGGGAACTAACTTTTTTTATAACAAATCATTTAGTACTAGAAATTAAATAAAAATCAACAATACATGGAAACTAAAACTTACCAATGTTATAGAACAACTTGTTTTTCATTGGAGTTAATATACGTTGTGAATTCGAATATTTTTTATCCATATAAAGAAGGATAATTATTAAAGAATATTTTAATATATTATCTATCAAAGACAGTGTAAAAATAAAAATTGCCCATAAAAATGTTAATTTAGTAATTGAATAATTGTTAAAAATTACTTTGTAAGTTGTATTTAACACCTGATCAATAATTAAGTAGTAATGGTTTTTTCCAGATTTATTTTCTCGTTCTATATTCTATTATACAGGGGAATAGCAAAATAGGGATTGCGTAAATGCCAAATATAGTTAAATAAGTAGTCAACATTTATCAATTATTATATTAAACTAAAAACATTACAAAAATAAATTTGGGTTAAAATATATATTATATCTAAGAATCATTTCAGCTCTTCTTGTTATCACATTAATGTAAATTCATGCCAATGACGTTAATGACGATGGCCAAGGACATTAATTCTAATGTAATTCGTTTAACCTTTCTTCAAATTTATTCATTGATCACAAGTTTCTCATGAGATTTTATCCGTTGGCATTTTCATAGACCAGTGGAATTACATTCAGTTGTTTCTACTGCCACATAATCTAAAACATACGTTATAGTTAAAATAATATACAGTCAAATCATATAAAAAAGAATCATATAAGAAAGAAGTATCCAATCGAAATATTGATGTGTAGAAATCTAATTATTTGTTTATACTAAATTAGTAAATCAAATAGAAGACAAACCCAGAGGATTTAGGTCTTAAGTCTGAGTCAGACAGCTCGTAAAATGGCTTTTTCACTGGTTTACATCGGCAAAGAGAAACAGAAAATCGATATTAACGATCAGAAAAGAGACAACGGTTGGCACTCCAGGTTACTGTGAAATTAGTAAATATTTGCTTTTTGATAAATGCACTCGACCTACCCCAAAATGTAGTCGGACCATTCCGATGGTGAGTACCGAGAGTTAAGTCTGTGGTACGCCATTAGTGTTAGCGGTAAAAACTTTATTATAAGTTGAGTAGTTTATCCAATGATAAAAATTACAAAACAACTTCGTTAAATCACTCCATACTTAAAAGTATTTTGTATTATGTAGCTGTTTTGTCTGATGTATTTTTCTAGTTGTATGTAGTTTCAGCCTGCAGTTCATATTTAGCAGTTTATGATCCGATCCACAGATCCTCCAGACATAGCTTTTACATTTAATACTGAGGTTTTCCATCTTTTCCACACGAGTATATAGTCGATTTGATTTTTATGTTCTTTATTTGGACTAATTCATGTTAAGAGCCTTCTTGGGTGGTGCTTATAAAGTGTATATGTTATTACTAGAATATTTTCACGGGTAAACTGTAGGAGACATTCTTCTCTGTTGTTTCTAATGCATATAACACGATAATGTCTTTCAAATATAGTTCATTTTCAATTTTTTCCACCTTGCCGTTAAAGTCTCCACTAATATATACTGGCTCTTTTTATAGACATTTCTTCAAGATATTTTCTATGTTGTAAATGTCGTCAATGTCTTCATTTAGAGCATTTGTTGTGGGCATATACACCTGAACGACATGGAAATTTTCTGATTTGGTTTCTAATGTTAATTTTATGAGTATCGTTTATTGTTTCAGATTGTTTGATATATTTTGATATTCTATTATTTATAACTATGGCTACTCTATTGTATCATATGTTTTTAGATCCTGATATGTAAATATAGTGGTTTTTAGTTTTTAAATGTCCTTGATCTCTCCGGTGTATTTCTGTTAGACCATATATGTATATATTTTGCCTTATTAGCTCTTTCCCTACTATGTTAAGTTTTCCAGTTTGGAAAAAAACCTCTGACCTCTTTGATTTTATACTTTTAAGCTTCTCTGTTTCTCTGTGATCTAAGAATTATTAACAATCTTTACCCGATACCAGCAATATCAAGGACATCTTCATCCATCACACACATAAACATACACACATATACACAAACAAGATGTGGATTTACCATTAGGTTTGTTTGCTTGCTAATTTGTGATTGCAACCGTATATGTTAGTTTTAATTTTACATAATAATTTAATAATACGAAATATTCTACCTTTGGCAGGTTTAGTGCTGATATCGATCTCATAATTCCAAGGCTGTATTTCCGCGGAACCAAATAGTACAAATACAGCCCCTGTAAAAAATTTCACAGCAGTAGTGATAAAAAACAGCGTCTTCCATTGAGCGAGGTTAACCTAGAATAAAAAAAATGTTTGTGTTGTTTACTAAATCTATATGGCGTAAAGATAGTTTTTTATATTTAGGAAAATATGAAAGTTATAAGAGTTATACAAGCAAATTATTATCGTGGTTTTAAAATAAACTATTATAAAGTTTGTCCTAATTAAAAAGGATAATGCTTGATACGATAGCATTTTGTTAGAGAAAGCACCAAAAAGACTGAAATAAATTGATTTGTTAACTATCAATAAACTGCCTTTTTGAGACAATGATGAAAAACAAGCTTCAAAAAAGAAAAAAAATTCAAATTTTTTTTTTGCAATTTGGCAACAATGCGAACTTAGATCTCTGAAGTAGATAACGACGTGAATCGATAGTTATACTGTACCAACTGTATACGTTTTCCTGCTATATGCATATATTAGTTAAAAACTTATCAGACACCCAGAAGTTTGTAAGAACCAATTTCTCTGGGAAAATAGTATAAAATGTGGAGTAATTTGCCTGTCAGCTAGATGTAATGACATACTTACATCACTGGTTAGAACAAAGTGAACCACTACCGGTCCTAGCGCAGAACACAGCTTTGAAAATTGGTTGCATATGCCTCCGAGTATTCCTGCGTGGTTAGGAGACAGATCTACGCTGTTCACATATATTCCAGAGTAAGCCACGCCAGTTTCAACACTTAATCCAACAACTAGAAAGACTATTGCTTTTATGTTGTCTTCTGGACCGCAAAATGCCAGTGCTGTCAACGAAATCGCCGGGACGATTATTCCTAAAAATAATAATATATTTATTATTTTAATATTGGTAACCAAATTTTACTAAATTTTACAAAGGAATTTGAAGAATTTATAAATTAAATCTATATTGGTCAACAAATGAAGTAGATATTAAAAAATATTTATGTTACGCATCTCAAATAAAAAAAAAAGTCTTACAAAACACATACTTTGCCATAGACCACGTTTGTTATTTAAAAATAGCAAAAAATATATTATTCAACAAAATAAATAAATAATATAAAATCATTTATAAATTCAAGAAAAGTTATAACAACAAAATTGTCTTATTGCTACGTTTATAAACAATTTAATATGTAATTGATATAAGGTTGAATGCTCGAGTAAATGAACTTTGAAAATAAGGCTATTATCGAGCACAAGTTTAATTAAACCTTGCCCAAGTCTTCTTCTTCATCAGCCTTCATTTATCCAATGTTGGACATAGGCCTCCTCCAATTGCTTCCACGCTTCCCTATCTTTTGCAATTCTCATCCACTGCTTTCCAACTACAGCAGTTATATCGTCTATCCACCTCTTTTTAGGTCTTCCCACGCTTCTTTTTGTTTCTCGAGGTCTCCAGAATGTCACTTTATGAGACCATCTGTTAGTGTCTTGTCTTGCTACATGTGCTACCCATTGCCATCTCAATGTCGCTATTTTTTCCATGATGTCGGTTGCTTTAGTTCTTCGACGTATTTCGGTGTTAGAAATTTTGTCTCTGAGGCTTATATTTAACATGGCCCTCTCCATGGCCGTTGAGTTACTCTTAATTGTTCTGCCATTTTTCTTGTTATTGCCATAGTTTCAATCCATAAGTTGCAACTGGTAGTATACAAGTGTCATAGGTTTTTCGTTTTAAGTGAATTGGGATTTTTCTGTCTTATAAAATGAAGCTCAACTTACCAAAAGCAGCCCATGATAATTGTGTCCTTCTTTTTAATTTCTAAGGTTTGATTTTCCTTTTCGTTTTTTAATTGCATGTCCTAGATATATATATATATATATATAATATATATTATATATATATATTATTATATATATATTGTTCTACCTTTTCTATATTGATGTTATCTATCGTGATGTTTTCTAGGCTGTTGCTTAATATCTTTGTTTTGTCGAGATTAATTTTTATTCCTATTTGATTCGATTTGTGATTAAAATCTTGTAGCATTGATTTTAGTTCATGGATATTTGTGCTTATTAGTACTATGTCGTCTACAAAACGCAAATGGTTAAGATATTCTCCATCTATTTTTAATCCATTTTCGGCCCAATTTAGTTGTTTGAAATCATTTTCTAATGCCAAAGTAAATAACTTAGGTGAGATGGTCTCACCCTGTCTCACACCTTTGCCAAGGTCTATTTTCATAGTTTCCAGATCATCATCTATTTTTACATGAAAAGTAGCATCATCGTATATATTCTTACGGAGGGCAGCATATCTTGAATCTACTCTGGCGTCGTCCAATGCTGTTAAGAAAGCCCATTTCTCGATACTGTCGAATGCTTTGTGATAATTGACAAATGCCAGATGTAATGGTATGTTGTACTCTATTGTTTTTTCAATAATGGTCCGAATTGTTTGCAAGTGATCGATAGTGCTAAAACCCTTATGAAAGCTTGCTTGCTCCACTGGTTGGTATGCATCTAGTTTAGCTGTCAATCTATTTGTTATTATTCGGGTAAGTAGTTTGTAAAGGTGTGACAATAAGCTTATTGGTCGGTAGTTTTCTATCTTTGCGGCGTCCCCTTTTTTATGGAGTAGAATGACTTCCGCATTTTTCCATGTCTTCGGTATTTGTCCTTCCAATAGGCATTTATTAAGTAATGCTCTTATTGCCTCTTCAAATGCAGTGCCTCCCATTTTTAGCATCTCTGAAGTAATTTTATCTTCTCCTGGTGTTTTCCCATTTTTCATTTGTTTTAGGGCGGCTCTAATTTCTGATGTTATTATTTCAGGGAAGTCCTCTAAGCCCATATTTAAGATATGTTTTGTTGGTATACCGGGGTTCGGAATAGTAAAAGTATACAGCTTCTCATAAAATTTTCGGATTTCTCTAACGACCTCTTCCTTATGCGAGCACAATGTTCCACGGTCGTCTTTTATCTTTATGATTTTATTTCTGCCAGTGGGTTTACGTTTTTAGTACTTTCATGTTCTTATTGTTTTCTATGGTTTCACGAATCTGGTTTGTTCTATAAACTCTGAGGTCTTTTTGAATATTTTTCTTAACGCTTCTGTTGAGCGCTTTATAGTCCGGGTTATCTCAGTTCGTTCTTCTTCTTTTCTCTATCTGTTCTAGAGTTTCGGGTTTTAGTTTAGCTTCCTTTTGTTTTCTTATTCTGCAACAAAGTTTCTTAGTGACTGTTTGTATGTCTTTAGTGATTTTCTCAGCTGGTTCATCTATATTCTTGTGTTCAAAGGTATTTGCTACTAGTTTTCGTGCTAATTCCTTTTGGTATTTCTCTTTATTACTGGCTAGGATGTCTGCCGTCGGTAAAGGGTTTGTTGTTAATAGTTTTCGTCTTTCTCTCTTTACGTTAATACGTATATCAGCACGAACTAGTCTATGGTCACTGCCGGTGTTAAATTGGTTCAATACCTCGATGTTTTTACATATTGATCTATCAATGGAGAGGACAAAATCTATTTCATTCTTAACCTGGCCGTCAGGGCTACGCCATGTCCACTTTCTTTGTATTTGTTTTTTATAGAACGTGTTCAGGCAAAACATTTTTTCGGTGCTTACGTAATTTGCTAATGTCTCTCCTCTGGTGTTTCTGTTGTTGTGTTTCTTGCCCAAGTACTTTCGCTTAATATAGCATCTTCAGAACAAACAGTTTAAAATTACTTAAAAGGTTCTACGCACTATATTCTTTGTCAGTATCAGGAGGGAGAATGGGAGAATCATTCTCCCTGATTTTAATGATTTGACATGATTTTAATACCAAATAAAGCAGATACATGTCCTTATAATCTAAAAATGAGATGTAAATTGCAGACCTCGATATCGATGATCTAAATACAGTAAACACATTGTAACTGCAAATCATTAAGTGAAGCTCAACTTTTTCTAGATGAACTTATTTTTTATCAATTTGTTCATTGATTTGGGTACATACCACATTACTATTAAAATATCTTTAGTCAATCGCTTCATTGAACTAACTTTATTACCATCATTAATTTGATTTTGTAGACACCTTAACACAGGGATTTCCTAATTATAATTAAATATATGTCTACTAAAACACCAATACAATAAAAAAATGCTTACCTACAGTAGCAACAGATTTGCGGGTAGCGGTGGTACTTAAAGTTTCAGTTGATATTAGTTTGTCAGAAATATACGAAAGAATGTATACAAGTATCCAAGTTACTATGTGAGGCAGAGAACTTACCAAGCCATTCTAAAAAGGAATATATTTGAATATATTTGCGGAATATATTTGATCAATGAAAAAAAGAATATATGCTAAATATACAAATAATACGCAATAATAAGGCTTTTGATTCTGTAGAGTTTGAAACAATACTGGAAGCCCTAAATCAAAGCCGAATAGATTACAGGTACACGACACTAATCAAAAACATCTATCAGAACGCTACATCAAGTATACGACTGCACGAAGACACAGAAAAATTCAGCTTAGGTCGAGGAGTTAGACAAGGAGACAATATTTCACCAAAATTGTTCACGGCAGCTCTAGAGTCAATATTTAAGGGTACTCAATGGCAAGATATGGGCATCAATATAAATGGAGAAAGATTAAATCACCTAAGGTTTGCAGATGATATTGTATTAATCGCAGATAACTTACATGATACAGTTTCTATGATGCATTCGCTTAAAAGTCTGTCTGAAAGAGCAGGATTAAAGATAAACTTTGAGAAAACTAAAATTATAACAAATCTCGTAATGAGTGGAAATATAACTATTGACAATAATACCATACATCAAACAGACACTTACAAATATCTGGGACACGAAATCAAAATAAGCAGAGACAATCAAACACATGAAATACAGAGGCGAATAGGTCTAACATGGGCAGCATTTGACAAATTAAGCCATATTCTAAAAAGTTCAATTCCCATGTGTCTCAACCGAAAGGTTTATAACCAGTGTGTTTTACCTGTACAAACTTATGGAGCAGAGAATTTAACACTCATACAAAAATCTGCGAATAAACTTAGAGTTACACAACGAGCCATGGAACGTGCAATGCTGAACGTGAGCCTTCGAGACCACATAACAAACCAACAAATCAGGTGAAGATCAGGAGTTCAAGACGTCATCGAAAGAACGACGACGCTTAAGTGGAACTGGGCAGGGCACTTAGCCAGAACACAAGATGGACGGTGGACAAGACGTATTATGGAATGGAGGCCCAGAAATTATAAAAGTAGCCGAGGACGACCACCGACTAGATGGACCGATGACATTAAACGTGTAGCGGGAAACTGGCTACAAGCGGCCCAGTGTACAGAACACTGGAAAGAACTGAGGGAGGCCTATGTCCAGCAGTGGACGCGATTGGCTGATTGATGATGATGACGCAATAATAAGCACTAGACAGCAACAATAATATAGATATAACAATAACAATGGGGGATTTTAATGTCAAATTAGGAAAAGGTAAATTCCAAGACATTATTGGTGAATTTGGACTATTAAGGAATAAGAAACGAAAGAGGGGAAAGACTGACGGAATTCTGTCAGGAGTTTGAAATGATAGCGACAAATATATTCTTTCAGTTACCACCACGTAGAATATATACATGGAAATTACCTGTGGATAGCAAAGAAAAATTTATCAGAAACCAGATAGATTATATCCTTATCAATAAGCGATACCGTAACTCCATCAAAAAGGCAAAGACATATCCAGGAACAGATCATCAGACCACAATCAAGTAATCATAAAATTGGAAATCCACTTAAAGAAAATAAAATATCACCAAAACATACAACAAATAAGCACTCTACTAAAACACCCGAATATAAAAGGAAAACTAACCTTGAAAATTAACGAAAAACTAAGCAAAACAATAAAAATTGATAATGAGATTCCAAAGAAAAATGGGAAAAATTTAAGAACACATTAATGATGCCAATTAAAGATATGCTGAGTAATCACAAAATCGATGTGGCTAAGACTCCATGGATGACAGATGAGATCCGGCAACTAATGGACAAAAGGATAAAAGGATAAAAATACGGGGGCAGCTAAAGAGAAGTGGTACAACGACAAATGTTTAGAGATAGAAAAACTCAAGACAAAATCATGATAGTTTTGAATTGCACAAAAAATTTAAAGAATTAGCAGGTATAAGACGGTCCAACAATAGTAACACCCTGGTTGATAAGAATGGAAAAATAATATCTGATATCAAAAGCAAACTAAACAGATCGAGAGAATACGTTCAAGAATTGTTTGAGGACGACAAGATAGCATGAATCGTTTGCGAGGAACATGATATAGGTCCAAATATATCTAAGATTAAAATAATACATGCAATAAATCTGGCAAAATCTAATAAAACTGCGGGCCTGACACAATTCCAACTGAAATAATTAGATTAATATCAGAAGATCAGATCAATGTATTAGTAGACTTATATTACACTATATAAAATATAATACGGGTATTATTCCGAGAGATTGGCTCAAATCAACATTTATTATATTACCAAAAAAACCTAATGCAAGGGAATATAAGGACACCGTATAATTAGTCTAATGAGTCACGCACTAAAAATATTCTAAAAAATTATCCATTTAAGAATTTTCAGAAAAGTGGAACAAGACATAACTGAAACCCAATTTGAAGTTAGGAATGCCATGTGTACACGAGAGGCATTATTTGGATTTAACGTCTTCATGCAAAGATGTATGGATGTAAACCAACCAGTCTATGTTTGTTTTATTGATTATATTAAGGCGTTCGATAAGGTCCGATACAACCGTCTTGTATAGTTACTTAAAGATAAACACATTGACAAAAAAGACTTAAGAATAATAATTCATCCCTACTTTAACCAAACAGCAAAAGTCAGAGTAGGCAAAGAACTTTTGGAAGAAGTAGAGATAAAAAGAGACGTAAGGCAAGGTTGAATAGTCTCACCCTTATTGTTCAATGTATATTCGGAAGAAATAATTAAAAAATCACTCGAAAATGTATCGATTGGAATTAAAGTCAACGGCAGACCCCTCAACAATATCAGATATGCCGATGATACTATACTAATTGCAGAGAATATATAAGATCTACAGACACTCTTAGATAATGTAGTAAATGCTAGTGAGGAAAGCGGACTAACGCTAAATGCTAATAAAACAAAATTTATGACAATTTCCAACAAAATTATGACCAATGAGAGGGGATAAATATGTGTTGCTACAAACCATAATGCAGGGAAAAATACAGGGAAAACGAAGTATTGGAAGAAGACGCATCAGATGGTCCAACAATCAGAAACCATCGACTTGTTCAGAGATGCAATCTCAAAAGTGAAAATAGCTGTGATGATTTCCAACCTCCTTAGAGGGGACGGTACCTAAATAAGAAGATACAAATAATGTAAATCATTCCAACAAGTTGATACTTTTATTCGCTTAATCAGATCAGATTTTATTTTAATTTTCCAGCACTTTTTCATCTTGCATTGTTTCCTCTTCATCATGATTTTAACATTAAATGGACAAGTATTTATTGCCGACTGATTTTCACTACTGTTTAATTCTCTTTTTTTTTCAAATAGTTAAACAAAAATTTATACTTACGTTGGTCATTCCTAGCCTTACAATATGTTTTAAATAATTCGGAATTTGTGAAACTAGCAAATGGAATGCAAAATGGTCACCACATTCAGCAATTATTAAAGACAAAAAGCACGTAGATGTTAATATCTTCTTCCATGGTGTATCCAGTTTCTAAAATTAAAATAAATTATTTTTAATAAATAAAAAAAAAATATTGTGTTGATTTATTTCTAAATTGCCATGTAATTCTTTTAACTAACGATCGGTCACTAATATTTATTAAATTAGTATGTAGTTAAAGTGTAAGAGTTATATCAATCATCAAATAATGAAGTAAAATATTCTGGAATTGAAACAAAAGTAGAAGATAATAGTCTTCTTTCAAATCTTTGTTGGAATGAGTCAATTCCTATTGATAACACAAATTTTTAAAGAGCAGGCAAAGCGAGATTTATGGCGTAACGCTGTACGCGCCGTAATTTATCTCAGAAGCAATTGAGATGCCCAAATGGTTTAGAGAAAATGGACTACAACACCTGGTTACCTTCTTGGTATCAAAAATCTTCACCATACCTCGCATCCAAACATGAATCTTCCTACATGAACGTCTTCCTACATGAAATAATAGAAGTAACATCTCAGCAGATAAGCAGAGTTTGAAAAAAAGCAAGAGTCGATCAATTGTCTATTGTTTCTCGATCTTCTTCTTAGGTTGCCTGTCCGTTGCGAACGTTGGCGATCATTCTGGCTATGATGATTTTGTTGGTTGCAATACGAAGAGGCCTTTCTATAACATGCTCTCAGGTTAGCAAGCCAAGATATTCTTCTTTGTCCTGGGGCCCCCCTTCCTTTAATTTTACCTTGCAAAATTCATTGAAGTAGCTCATATCTGCCTTCATTACTTCACTGATTTACTTTTGATGTATGATAATAAGTCTGGCCTGGAAGAATATAAAATCACTGAAGGAGTACCACAGGGCTCTATGCCCGGTCTTATTTTGTGGAATATAATGTATAACGGGTTGCTAAAGCTAGAATTACCAAGATACGCTAGGTTCGTGGCATACGCTAATGACATGGCTGTAATAACGGTCACAAAGCACCTTGAAGAAAAAAATCTCACGTTTGACATCATCGTCGAGAGAATCTGCCAGTGGATGAACACAGTTAACTTAAAATTAGCGAAGTACAAAACTGAGGCAGTGCTTATTACTTGGCGGAAATAGATGAAAACCTTAACACTGAGCATTGGAGAACATGAAATCACATTACAACCATTCCGTTAGTACTTGGGAGGTTAAATGATATATGACAGCTTCAAGCAGCACATTGAGCAAGTCAGTGCTAAAGCGTCAGTAGTAAGAGCAGCCGTGTGACGGCTAATGCTGAATGTAGGTGCCCCAAAACAAAGCATGAGGACGTTATTGTTGTCAGTAGTCACATTTCATAGTAAGAGAAATGCTTTCATCAAACGCAGCTTGGGATGCAATCAGCACATTTATGATGAAATTCCTTCAGGATCTTCACCACATCGATAGGAGATGGGCTAATAATATAGACGGTTAGAAGAAGAGAAACATTGACTTCAACAACTTGAAGAGCAACAGCTAGATTCTCATCCTGTCAAGTAATGTCTTATAATGGTTATGTGGGGGAAATAGAGGCAGAAGAAGAGAACGGGTTTTAGTCGGTATTGTAACATACGATTCCATCGACACGAATTACCATCCGATAACACGAAGCCACGGAAATGGATGCCATCAGAAGATCTATGAGAATATCAAGAGCCGACAGAATACGGAATGAAGTGATAAAACAACAAATGGGTATAGAGGGCACTATAGTTGAGGATATTGAGAGAAAACAGCTCATATGGTATGGGCATGTGAGCCGAAAATGGGACGAAAGATTGCCTAAAAAACGATGATGTGGCAACCCTCAGAGAAGAGGAAACGAGGAAGACCACCACAGAGCTGAAACCTGGGAGTTAGGAAAGCGATTAGCGCTCGAAATCTGGACGAAGTTCAACTTAAGACAGAATACAATGGCGTTTGGGAGTCGGACAACGTCGTAAGACGTTATAAAACCGAATATATATATATATATATATTATATATATATATATATATATATATATATATATACATACGATTCCGATATACCAGGCAGCGTGATACTATGACTAACAAGATATAATCTTCCCATAGCACAAAATCGGTCGTGTTCGCGCATGCCCTCATTGCAGAATAGAATTTGAATTCTTGTGATGAAATTACTAGACGAAAATAAGTTAAGAGGTTTAATAATTACAATAATCGTACACATAAGGATATCTCCAAACTATTTTTTAAAGATTATTTATTAAAACATATAAAAAACTGACACTTCAAATGTGCAACTCTCCAATGACGTCACGACTTATGCGCAATATCTTATCTTCTTAGTCATAGTATCATGCCAGGCAGTACATCTAGTCCTGATGATATGTAAAAGTATTTCTAAGCCCAAAAAAAAACAAACACACACCCATATACGTGCGTGTGTTTACTATGGCACCTGTGAAATAACATAGCAAATAGAAACATGAACATAGAGTAATGTAAGATGCTAAGAAAAATTCCCTGATGTTCCAGAGTTATTAATATGTTTACTAACCGAACTTGTGGCATCGATATGACCACTACAATTATTTTCATGTCTGAAATATCAGCATACTGTGCTCACAGTATAAACAGTTTTCAGGTGTGTAAAAGTGGTCACAGTATATGTAGTTTGCCGGTGTGTTAAGCATGATATCACAAAACTCATAATTATCATGTCGTAATCAGTAAGAGAGTAGGACAAGATATAAGTTAACTAATAGAGACTATTTTTTAACTTTACCTTTTTCTCCTGTGTAGATAAACTTATTTGAATATACTGCTTCTCTTCTTCCGATATCGTCTTGTGGCTGGCAGGACTATTTTCTCCAAATATCCAAAACAGTAGGCACCATATAACACCGTAAATACTATACATGTAAAATATCGCTGGCCAACCAAACTCACTATTTGCGATGTAACCAGATAAAGCGTTGAGGTTATTACACCTATGATACCACCTGCATATCAAAATAGCTTTGATTAAAATATACATAATGCAAATACTTGGTTTTCATAGATTTAGAGTGGTTCTATAGTACAAAGAACGTCTAGCCCATTTTATTTTCTGAAAAAACTACCATTAAAAACACATTGCAAAGTAAGAGACCTAAAGCTTTTCTTTGCATGCCGATAGTCTATGTTGAGTAGTTTCAGTGTTAAAAGGTGTTTATTGATTTTCTCGGAACGCAGATTTTGGAGATTTAAGGTTTTCGAACTCACCGATTCATATATGAGGCGTTCAGAGCCAAAGTGGATCAAGTCCAAAATTTACGAAAAGTCCGCTTGATGCGTATTAATATTTGTTAATAGTGTATCATATTGGGACCACAGTAAACCAAGTCCCTGATATTGCTATTTCCTAACAGATTGCAGCAGTCTTTTTTGGTTCTGACAAAGTTTTATAAAATTTCTCTGTTAAAGTGAATCAAGTCCAAAACCGTTACACGTGGTTTTTGTTTATGTATTTGTAGTTGTTATAACTTGAAAACAATGGATCTTAATGCAATTGTGGACTTTTTTGATTTATCCTCAAAATATATGCTTTCAAAAGACGAATTATCAATTTCAGGATCTGAAGGTAAATTATGATAGAATAATGTAAAATATAAGTACTATAACATAAACTCTTTTGAATCGCTTTCCTTATTTTGTAAATAAGTCGAAAGTTCTAATTCGTGTTGTACAAACAATAAATTCAGCAAAATTATCATTACTAGGATTTGTTTTTGCAATCGTTTTAAAATTTATACTTAGTCTAGGAAAAGCTAATAATTTTTGATATCAAAAATGTAAAATAAAAAATAAATGTTTTCAGTCATTTATTTACTTTCTTTTTAGATAGCTCCGGTCCAAGCCAGTTGACACTAGTCACAGCTTCTTCGCCACTTCCTGGGCCAAGTGAACCAATAAATATAAAGGCAAATAATGAAGCAAAGGGGCGAAAAAGAAAGAAAAATATAGACAACTGGAAGAAAAGTAAAAGGCGGCATTTAAGAAACAGTGGCCTCTCCTACCAATCAGCCAAAGGTTAGGAAGTGTCACAAAAGTACTTTATAAACACACCATGTCATGTTGCCGATAGGGGGCATTTGGGCCTGTAGGACCCATCGCCGGCTCTTCGGCCTTCTTCCTATCCCCGGAATTTGAACGGGTATTGACCATCTCTGATTTGCCGCTGGTATAAGGGTTAAATACCACTGCTGTTATAAATAACAGTTCCACTGACAAATATCTGTTATAGGTAACGGTTCCAAGGAACAGTTACAAAGTAACAGAGCAAAGATGGAAAACAGATAGGTAAAAATAATCTAAGTATTCCTTGACTTACGGAAGGAATAACTTAGTAAAAACAAGTAAATCAAAATGGTATAAAAAATATAATGCAAAAGAAATGTTCATAAGTGTTTCTTGACTTACGGAAGAAACGACTTAGAAATGAAAAATAAAGTATAAAACAAGAAATGCAAAAATGAAACAGATTACAGAAATATGTCTAAGTGTTTCTTAACTTACGGAAGAAACAACTTAGAACAGGAAATAAACAAGTAAGATAAATGCACAAATATTTATAAGTGTTTCTTGGCTTATGGAAGAAAAAACTTATAATAAAAAGCAAGAAAATCAAATACAGAAAAGATGTGAAAATATTGCTAAGCGTTTCTTGACTTACGGAAGAAACTTAGCATAAAATGGAAAATGAAATAGACAAATATATTAGTATTTTCTTAACTTACGGTAAAAAATATCTTAGATAAAATATCAGGAATAATAATGCGATATGAAAATATTTCTAAGTGTTCTTTGACTTACCGAAAAGAACTACTTAGATAAAAAGCACAAAATCAAATATATAAAATAGAAAAAAAGGCAAGATAAATATTTCTTAGTGTTCCTAACTTACGGAAGAACAGCTTAGATAAAAATACAAGAAAATAAACAATCAAAATAATCAAATAAAATAGCAACCAATCAGTACATGAACAAATATGTAATATTCTAACCTGACAAGGTCTGAATATACAATAATGCTGAAATAAAAGAAATGGTATGAAGGAAAGCAGAAATAAAACAATAGCTTAGTCGGAACAATAATAGCACCGACTAGGTCTACAGTAGAAGAGGCAAGCTTGACTGACCGATGAGAGAAATTCCATCTGCTTTTATATAAAACAAATCCTTTGTTTTACGTAGCAAAAGTGGAATTTCCCTGCATCGAGTCAATTAGAAATTCGGATTTGCCCAAACTTGGAATTTCCAAGTATTTCTCCGAATTTCTAAATGCGTCCGGTACGGCTGTCAGCTTCTGCCTGACACGCTTCCGGAGACAGTCACACCATATCAAAGCCTCAAGTTCATGCCGTCATTGATTGGCGTGGTAAAAATGCTCCAATTAATAAACTTGATGATTCTGAAAGTGGATTTCGACTTCTTGAAAGTAGACATGTCTACGAAAATTTTTCAATTTATTGAAAAGCAAGACCCGTTACACACAACTGAGAGAGTGGTCACGGAGGCAAAGAAAAAGGATATGCTTAGTCTTTTACCATTTCTACCCTCAAATACCCACACCCACTTTAAAAATCTTCGAACAGAAAGTTTTACCAGGTCACAAACTTTCCAAAAAACGGACGAAGAACCAGGTTATGACGAACCTATTTTTGATAACAGCATTTAAAGTGCAATTTTAAAACTTTTTTTATATTAACTTGTGAACCGGTTATTAAAACATAATAAAATGTTAGATGCTTGGTGTATTGTATTCATTTGATTGACCTTATAAAAAAAAAAACAAAAATCAGAACCAAAGTGAATCAAGTCCAGTAATAATAAGATTTACAATTAAATTAACACTTAAAATATATTTTTTTTTATTTTTAAATTATGACTTATGTTTAAGTTAGTGTTTGTACTATAGCTATAAAGAAAAGTTAATCTTTAAAACACTTTTGTGTTTAACTAATCTTACCTAAACTTTAAACCTTCATTGCCTCAGAACTATAATTTATGGACTTAATCCACTTTAGCCCTGAGCGCCTCATATATCACAGAATTACTTACCAGAATAAATAAATCCCATACATCTACTTCGTTCATATGCTGGAATCCATTTCCCAAATAAAGCATACAACGACGGAAGGACAAATCCATTACAAAATCCTTGTATACCTCTACAAATGATTACCCATATAGATCCAAATGCTGCTAATGTTGGAATAAGGCAGCCAACCACAGAATTTATCATTATCGCACCGATTAAAAAACGTTTTGCTCCATATCTAGTTGCTAACCATCCAGCAGGTACAGCAGGAATAATCATTCCCCAAAAAAAGGCAGACAGAACTAATCCTTTGTTTGTCCAATTGTATGTCTAAAAAAAGTATGAATAATTCTAATGCAATATATATTACTCTTTTTGTAATGAAATACATGAGAAACGCTAAATGTTGCTCATAAAACAATAATTTGTTTTTACGTAATATATGTTACAGTTTTTTTATTGTTACATTGCATGTTTACAATTTACTCTATACACAGAGTAATAAGTAAATAGTCTATTAGTAAATTAATATAAGGTTGAATGTTCGAATAAATGAACTTTGATGGTACACAAGGCAAATATCGAACACAGTATTTAATCAAATCTTGCCCAAGTACTTTCGATCACAAGATCATCTTCACGGGCATTTGGTCAGTTGTGGATAGGCCACAACTGACGAAATGCCCCTGAAGATGATCTTGTGATCGAAAGTACTTGGGCAAGATTTGATTAAATACTGTGTTCGATATTTGCCTTGTGTACCATCAAAGTTTATTAGTAAATTAATGTGAGTAAGATACCGTCCAGTGACGGTTCTCGTAAGTATTATTGCGGTAAATCTTCTGGCCATGCTCTCTTCTTTCAGCAAGTAGTTGGGTGAATAAATTATTTATCAGTTCGTTGTTGTGATCAGTGGTGCAATTTTTATATTTTATTGAGTGATTCTTTATTATGCCCTTAAGTAATGGGATGTCCAGATCATTGTGAAGTGTTTGGTTAGATACATACCATGGATCGTTACTTATCAAACGGGGTATTTTGGATTGAAATGTTTGAAGTATCTTCGTATTTAAAGGTTCTTTAAACAGCCCAATAGTTCTATTTCATATACCCAAACTGGTATGAGTATAGCTTTGTACAGAAGCAATTTATTTTCAAGAGATCTGGGACCTTTTGTTAAATAGCTTGTTCATATTTTTTAATTTAAGATCTAGTTGTTTCCATTTAGTTTAAATGTGCGTTGTCCATGTAAGTTTTTTATCCAGATGCAATTCCATCACAAGTATTTGACAACTGGTTTTATAGGAATGGAAGTATTATTAATATAAACTTGTGGACATTTAGATAGATGTGGTAGATTTTCTTGTTCTTGTCAGTAAAAGTAATTTGTACTGATTAGCAAGCATTAACACTGATCTTCCATCATTTAAGCCGGTTTTGTAATTGCACTAAATGATTTTGTACTTTTTGTGATGCTACATTTTGTGGGTATCCACTGTGTACCGGTATCCACAAGATTCCCGTATCTTCGGCAAAATTAGCTAAAAAGGTATCATTACTGGCTGAAGAATGAACATTAATCTTAAATTAAAAATAGAGAATTTGATAGATATCAAATATGTAAACACGCATGGCATAATGAACATAGGGTTCCTATGTTTCCTCCTGGTTTTTCCCTCATAATTTACTATGGAATCACCAAAAGGAGAATTTTACTGTCATCATGTCATGTGTTTGTCTTTTTAAAGACGAATTACATGCTATGATTTTTTTTCTGATGAATATTCTCAAGTTAAAGTTGATTTCATGTAATCGAATGAACTATCTTATAAGTAAAGTCGTCCCACGAGCGCAACTCAACAATATTGGCAATATCATTTTAAAGTCGTCTACTTTAAAATGCATAATGTATGTCTGAATTGTCAATATAAATGAGTCAGATAAAATTAAATTATTAGAAGAATTTTTCACTATGTAACAAAAAAAATTTGTTTATTTAACTGTTTGTATTTTGAGAACGATTTCCGAAGTGGAAATTGAAACGTCAATAAACGTATTTTTTACTTTAATTGTGGCTTATTCTCAGTTAAATAGTAATTAATTTAAAATACCACAAGAAAATAGCTTCAGAACAATACTAATATACTAGTTTAATAATTCTATAAATTTTAATTACGCATTGAAACGACTACAACCGACATAAAGCCGACGACATTGTTCTCCTAATATCTCAAAGATGAGGAGAGATATGTATAGAAAACCTTGTTTTAATACAAACAGAAAAATCTCAACTATCTTACCATCCGTCAAAACAAAAACCTCGTTAGAAAATCAAGGAGTATACGAGATTTCCTGTGGGGACTGTGACAAATAGTACATCGGACAGACCAACCGAAGAATCAATGCTAGACGAGACGAACATCGAAATGCCGTCGAAAGGAGAGAAAAAACGTCGCCCTTTGCCCAACATGTCTGAAACACAGGACATACAATAAACCTGAACCAAACTACGATAATTGCTAATATTGAAATTAAAAGAAAACGTGAAATCAGAGAATCAATAGAAATAGAAAAATATTTATAAAACTCTTAGTCCCCCTGAATAACCCGAGTCAATAAACCTTGCACTTGTCTTTAGGTAAAATGTTGAGAAATAATTTAAACATGCATAAATCTACATACTAATGTTGTATATGTTATAAAATAAACCTTTTGTATGAATAAAATAAATTTGACCCAATTTGAAGCTTTACCTACTGATATGAGGTTTCATCAATAAATCTTTAGTAGAGCTATTTTTAAAAATATTATAATTTGATTAATAAATTACATTATTGTTTCACCTTATTTAAGTACTTTTACTTTAGTACGGGGTACTAATTACTAATCCAAAAAATAATAAAACAAAAGAGTGAATCAACCATCCTATTATTTTTCAGACGAATCAGAGTATCTACTACAGAAGAATCTGCGTATTAATCATAAAACACTAAAATACGGAGGAATAAAAATATCAGGAATAAAATGAATGACAAAATTTATAACATAGTTATCAGAACAATAATGAGAACGCCACAGAAACACGACCCGAGAGAACAAAAAGAGAGTGCTAGAAATAGCAGAGATGGAAACACACCCAACAGGAAGACAATCAGTGGGAGGACAAAGAAAATGATGGAACAATTTACTGCACATTGCACATTGAAAAACAGACAAAGAAATGTCTACAAAAAAAAGAATACTTTTAAAATACTTCCTGTTTATTTTACGATTTGTAATTTTATATGCAATAACTAAATGAGCAATTTTTTATAAGCCATCTCTGAGTTTCCGACCTTTCTTAAAAAGAAAAATTATTTATGTTTGTTAATGTGTTTGAACCGGTTTTGTATAAATTCTACTTCTTATTTATGCGTAGTTTATTGCGAATAATGAATAACTGGCTTGATTTAACCCTATATTGCATGAATTTTAACTATGCGCACTAAAAATCTTGTTTTCATTGTATATGGTTTTAATTATAAACATAAATGTTCCCTAATTTAATTTTTGAGACGGCCCCCCTTTTTTTGGAAAACACGGAATGTGTACTGTAAGCAACAATATGCAATTAAATTACATTTAGTGAAATAAAAATTTATTATGTGAAAACTTTATTCGGTATGAAAATTCTTAAAACAATTAGAAGTTGTAGTAAAACAAAGAAATATTTTACACTTTTGTCATTGAACTATGGGAATTCCTTTACAATTAGGATATTTGCATCTTCCTTTCTTTTCAAAATATATAGGCCAATGACCCATTCCATCTTTTCTAACCTCTGCGTAGGGAATGGGTGCTGTTGCATGGTATTTTTTTTCTTTGCCTCATATGCTGTGGATATATTTGAACTAGATGGGCGCCCATTTACTTTATTTTTTATACAGAGTTTGTGCAATTTCTGCCTTGAATTCTAATAGGGGTGATTGTTCCTTTTTAGTATTTTTAAAGCAGTGCAGTCTCTTCTATATAAAAGCAATGCTTGAACAACCATAATGTCAATAAAGTGATAAAGAAATTTGTGGTACTACTTTTTGGACCTAATTGATATTCTGTATACAGCAGTAAGCGAGTCCAAATCAACGCCTCCCATACTCTTATTGTATAAGAGGATAGATGATGGACAATAAATTTCAATATATTGCTTAGATATACGATCCCACCTCTTCTTTTTGCCACATGGATAAGCTCCTGCGTATGAGTTTATAATTGTAACGCCTTTATTATCATATCACTTCACAACAGTCAGGGGAGTACCATTGATAATAGTTTTCTGTTTCTGAAATGATCCACGCCCTTGTTTTTTCATGTCTTTGTCCGATATCAAATTACAACCAGCGAGTCTATTTTGCCTTACAGTCCCTATACATTGTATATCATTTTTTGCTAATTCTAATTGCAAGTTGATACTATTGAACCAATTGTCAAAGTATAATTTGTGATTCTAATGTTTTGGAATAATCTCTGATAACCTGAGGACTACATTACCAACACAACCAATATCGTTTAGAGAATGAGGTTCTTTTCCAGTGTATATTTCGAATTTATACATCAAATTAGAAATATCAGATAAAACAAAAATTTTGTACCCCCACTTTTCGGTTTTTTTTTTGGGTTATACTGTTTAAGACAGCTTTTTCCTTTGCAAGGAACAATTTTTTCATCTATTGACAAGAACTCTTCAAGGGGAATTGTAGAACATACTTCATTCACATTAGTGATTAATGGTCTAATTTTGTATACTTTGTCATTATCTCGAGACTCTTTAGATGATTATTTAGCATTGTCGCTCATATGTAAATTTTTTCAGCATCAAATTCATTCACAGACATTACATCGGCTACTTGGGTAATCCTCGTTTTTGGACTCCAAAACATTCGTTGTCGTGGTAGTTTATATATAGACATGTAGCATGACATACCAATAAATTGTTCAATTTCATTTTTTGTTACACCAAGTGGCTTATTTGGACTTTGTTGAACACCATATAAATTTTACTGCTGTATTAGAGTTCCAATCAACTCGTCTTCAAAAAATTTACTAAAGTATTCTATTGGTTGTGTTTTTTCGTGTAATATAGGCATATTACCTTTCCACTTGGTAGTCTACTTTTATTTTTTTTTTGGCTGTAGGTTTGGAAGAATTGCATAAAATTGCCTCAAAGCAACACCTGTTTACAACTTAATTTGTGATTCTTATTTTATATTTAAAATTACAAAATTACTAAGAATTACTTCCCTCACATAAGCTTATTACATAGTAACCTTCTACCTTTCGCTTATAACTAGACCTCGGCAAATATGCATATTGCATATTTTGCATATTGTGCATATTTTATGCAAATATTTCATATTTTGGCATATTTGTATAAAAGTTTGCATAAAGTGCATAAAAGTTCAGATTTTTATACTGTATTTGAAAATTTTTAAACATACCAATTTATTTCAATTCTGGTATAAAATTTTGTAGTCATTTTAATCAAGAAATGATCTAAGTACGTAATCTCTACAGGTACAAAACATTTACAATTTCAAAGAAGATCAATTTAAGTAGCCCTCAATATTCTTAGAAAGTCTCGGTCACTGAGGCATTCAGTTATTGGATAATCGCTAAGGGTTCGCTCATTTGCATTTTATGATCTAATCCCCAAATCTATCTACAATTTATTGTATCTTAACAGCAGGTAAACGGCTAATAGTTTTGTTCCTAATTTAGGGATCTTCCAAAATCTCCCAGTTTATTGAATTAGGTACCTAAACATTTCTAATTTGATGCTCAGATTTGTAAAGAATTTTTGTTTTGATATTCAAAGCGTAAACACTCGTTGTGCGTAACAAAAAGGAAGATTGTGATTTTATAATGCCTAAAACAACCAGTGCTTCAACTTGGATTAAACCTTATAAAGAGCTGTCTATGGATATGGGAAAAATCTACTGTTCAGTCTGTGGCAAAATTGTAAGTATCTAATATTTTCTATTAAATATCTAATATTTCATACATACAGGGTGTTTCCAAATGACACTTACAACGTTTGACTGTAGATACTTCTCGAAAAATTGAACAAAACGATATAGTTAATGAGGGGTCAAACTTATTTACTTTTCGAGATACAGGGTGTTAAAATTAAAAAAAATTAAATTCTTTTAGTTAATAACAACAATAACTTTAAAACCAATAAACGTATTTACTTGAAATTTAGTACTCGTAGGTTGTTTTTAAATGAAAAATAGCTTCCTTTAGTGAGAAAAAATTGTCCATGGTACAATACAATGGTGTGTATTTAGAAAAATTTTTCACCTTTACTTTTTTTTATGAAGTCAGCTATTCTAAAACACAATTATTTTTATTGTAATTAAATTAACAAAAAAAAAAAACTTTTGTTGAATTTTAAAATAAGTTATATGATGTACTAATGGTTAGTAACAAAAGCTAATTTGTGGATTAATACTGCATTTAGAACACTTAGCGAGTGTTTTTTTTCCAAACCAGTTATTTGATTAACCAAAAACACCTTGTATATTTTTATATTTCAAAGGTTGGGTTAAAATAAAGGTTTTTATTTTTATTTATAGATAGCATGTGAGATGAAATTTCAGATAGACCAACATGTGAGAACTGCTTCACACATTGCAAAAAAAAGGAAAAATAGGAGGAAAACATCAAACTTCAATGGCTAAATGTTTCCAATCTACTTCAAAAAAATTAGATGAGCAAGAAACTTTTAATGAAGACTTGTGTCGCGCATTAGTGTCTGCAAACATACCGCTTTCAAAATTAGCAAATGTAAATTTTAGTTCGTTTCTAAAAAAATATTGCAAACTTAATGTTCCAAGTGATCGGTCTCTAAGAAGAAATAATGTGAACGGGCTATACTCGTCGGTGTTAATTAATATTAAGGAAGAAATTGCAGATAATTATTTTTACATATCTGTAGACGAAACCACTGATTCCTCAGGAAAGTATATTGCTCATTTATTGATTGGTATTCTTAAAGAAGATACCTTACCAAAATCTCATCTTATTTCATGCCAGCAACTTGAGAAAACAAATGCTTTAACAATTTCGCGTTTTATACAAGAAACATTAGCAACTTTTTTTCTTCCGACAACTATTCCTCCTAATAAATTACTGCTTATTTTATCGGATGCTGCTCCTTATATGGTGAAAGCAGGACAAAATTTAAAAATATTTTTCCCAGATTTAATACATGTTACTTGTGTAGCGCATGGATTAAACAGAGTTGCAAAGGAAATACGAAAAAAGTTTCCTCTTGTAAATACCATGATATCCAGTGTCAAAAAAGTATTTCTTAAATCTCCTATAAGAATTCAACTTTATAAAGAAATGCTACCTAACATTCCTCTTCCACCACAACCTATTTTAACGCGATGGGGAACATGGTTAGAAGCAGCTAATTTTTATGCAGATCATTTTGTTAAAATAAAGAACATAATTGATACGTTAACAGATGAAAGTTCCCAATCTCTTTTGGATTCTAAACAAACTTTTCAGAGTAACTTGCTTCAACAAGAACTTTCATTTATAAAATCAAATTTTAGTTTTGTTCAAAAAACAATTACTCAGTTAGAATCACCAAAACTGTCATTGTTCGAAAGTACAGCATTAATAAAAGAATTTGCGTCATGTTGTCGGAACGTTAGAGGTAATATTGGAAAAGATATTTTAAAAAAATTTGAAGCTACTATGGAAAAAAATAAAGGTTACCATATTCTTTCTGAAGTAGTCAGTGTTCTAGCTGGAAATATTTCGGAAACAATTAATTTAGAACCAAATGTTTTGGTTAGTTTGAAAAATGCTCCCGTTACATCAGTTGATGTTGAACGAAGTTTTTCCATATATAAATATATGTACTCAGACAGAAGCCACAAGTTTTTGTTAGAAAATTTTGAACACCACTTGGTCATTTATTGTTACCATAATTCTAAATAAGTTTATTCATACTTAAAAATGATGTAGTTACTTAAAATAAATGTAAATCTTAATGAATAGTAGGAAATATTTAGTTATGTACACTTTTTTTTTTAATAAAATTGTTACTATTTTACGATTTTTTTTACTTATTTGTATGCATATTTTGTAAAATATTTGCATATTTTCGGGTAAACAGGTGCATATTTATGCGCATATTTTCAACATTTTTATTTGCATATTTGCTGAAGTCTACTTATAACACTCGACTGGCAACACCCAAGAACTTTAGGAGCGAAAAGTTGACTCGACCTAATGACGTACAAATTTGCGCGATTACTTAGATATAGTGTGTCTTTCAGTATGCAATATGCAGTTTTAATTCACTTAATAAATTAAAAGTTAGTTATCTAACGGAAATTAATTTCAATGTTGCCTTAAAGCTACGGTATGCAATATAGGGTTAATATTAATTTTTTTGATTTTACTCCAGTCGTCAGAGATGAAAATGCCACTAAATCCCTGAAAATCATACGAACAAGATGAATTTTACCGAAAATGTCAATTTTAGGACTCTAAAAAAGATGCAAAAAAGTTTATCACTTTTATTCCCAGGCTTTCCCCTAAAACGGAAAAAAATCGAGTTACAAAGAATCTGTTTCATACTGATACAAAAAAAAATGTTTCAAATAAAAAATGTAGCTTAGATAATTTTGAATAAAAAAGTTTATTTGCATTTTTTGTGTTGAATGAATCGTTCTCTTAGAAATACCGATTGAAGCGATCGGTAATTTTGAACGACAGCGCCAGTTACGTACGCGAAATCAATGCTTAATAAAATTTGTATCAGCTCGACGGTAAAAATTCAATATCTTCTGATCCGAGTGTCCTATCGACAAAAATCAAGATGCGTTTTAAAGGTAAAGAGTGTAGCTTTCGTATACATCTTTTGTGTCATGTCGCAAATGAACTCAGTTTTTATAAAAGTGTTAAATAAATAAAAGTGACGCGATTTTTGTCATTTTTTATGATTCTTATGAGATCAATAGTATGTATTCCTTTCATTGACCGGCCAATATGGAGTTTCCTTAACTAGAACCTAATATTTAAAATCTATAGAATGACATTTTGGTTTTGAGTTTTGGCAACAAATGTGAGGCATTTGAAATATGCTTAAAAACGCTGAATTTAAACTTTCACATTACAAACGATCTAAAAAGTTTAAAACTGCTTTTATTTAATATTAACTACTGCTATAAATTACACCCAAAACCGTTTACTTGAAGGCATTTTCCGTGACGTGCGATCATTTGCAATATAAAAATTTACTTTTTTACCCCCCCCGGTGGTTTTTAGGGGGAATCCCTGGGGTTAAAGTGGTATACTTTTTTGCAACTTTTTTGTGGTCACAAAATTCATATTCTCTACAAAATTCAGCTTGTTCGTATGATTCTTAGGGGTCAAATCTCTGACGACTATTAGAAAATCAGTAAAATCAATAGTCTGGAAAAACAGTATTTTACAGTAAGTTGCTTCTTAATATATTAGGAAGTAAGTCTTAATTTTGTTACCAACAAACGTAAAAAGGATTAGTTCAATAACCACGAAAGACCAAATAACTAAATAATCAACTTAAGAATTTGGATGGCGAACTAGATGACTAAACGCTTTCAGACACTTTACAAGAAATAAAACAAATAAACATCTGAAACTTGTCACTCTTTTTTTATTATTTTTTAAAAGATTTTTAAAACATTGAACTTGGCTATAGCCAAATACTATGTATGCGTATTTTGGATTTTGCAACGTTAATATTAAAGTTTTTTGATAACTTTTGATTTGTAGGGAACTGTTCCCGATATAACCTTAATTCATTTACTTAAAGCCGCATCCCTTTCATTTCTATCTTTATATGACGAAAGTTTGTAGTTCCATAGACAAGGATATTCTTCGTATACCTATTTTATTTTCTTTGTCGACCCTTTTCTTAATGCTTTTGAGCATTGTACTTTTGATATTGTAGCAGAGATTATAGAAACAACGCTTTAAAAACGCAAACTGGCGCCAATATGTAAATTACTTTGCTGGCGCATGGATAGGTGGTGCCATTTTACTGACGCCCTTAATTGTTTTCATGTGCCAATGAACTGGCGCCAATAGACTGGCTCCAATAAATCAGTGCATGTGGCAACCTACCTTTACTGGCAAAAACTAGTTAATTTAAATAGTGGTCAAATCAGAATACTTACAGGTATATTTTTGTTAACACTAGCTGTAGGATCGTTCATAGCGACAACACATACTGACATTGATACTTTTAAAGAATGCGATAAGAATAGGATCATTGCCAACAACACAGCTTGAATATGTCGTTTTCCCAATCCATTACCTATAAAATTAAAACACAGATTAGTAAGAAAGAAGTAGCCTAACTTGTTAAAGTAAATGTTAAGTCATTATTTTAAAGCAGAAAAAAATTTCATGAATATAACAAATTTTATTGACTTTTGTAAAGCAAGTGAATTATGGAAAATACGAAAAATATAAACAATATAAATACAGACTATTTTGATCAACTATTGATGTTGAATCAACAGGTTCTAACCTTCCTTCGAAACTTTACCAGATGGTATTTTTTAAGTAAGCAAGGATTCTTCTTACATTCGTCCTTCAAGGACCAAACCATGTACTTCAAGAAATCATCAAAATTAACACCAAAGCTAAGGAGAACAGGTTCGAAGGGCTAGATAATAAAATCTTTTATAGATTTATCATTCTTACCAACTTCTATTTTTTGTCTTGATCGTAAATATTCAAAAACAATTAAGAATATATACCAAATACTGCCATAATTATTGGTTTTACAACCCATAGTGGCTTTGGCCTGCTCCAGGATCAGCTTCCATTCCTTCTTTCTTGGTCTTGGTTTTGCAATTTACAATTTTCCAATTAAACCATTATTTCCCTCTACTTCTCACTCCAACCGTTCTTTGGTTATTAATGTGTTTCGGCAGCTCCATCCAATTCATTCATTGATGAGCTCATTTTCACTATAAAAGCTGTAAAGCTCAATATTGAGTCATCTGCGTCATTTTCTCTTTTCTTTGACGACTTTGTAAATATTTTTACCGCTTCATTGCCCGCCTTCAGTAGTTTAACTTGTACTACTTACAGTTTTACTTGACAGAGAAAGAAATATGAACTTATGATCGATGCACCTACTGGAAGTGTAGTCTTCGCTCAAGAAAAAGGATGGATAACTTCTAACATTTTCTATCTGTTACTGTAACATTTTTTTAAGGTATTCAAAGGCTTCTAAAACCAACAAAGTTTTGTTTTTACTCGACAGCCAGAACTCATCACCGATTCATTGAAAATAAAATGTTTCTTCGATTGAAAGTTTATCAAAAAGATCCACTGATCAGAAATCAACATCATTGTCAGTCCTAACCATCTCACTAGAAGATATTTGTCCTCCTCCTTTAGCTAAAGTATCTGAAGTAACGCAAAAAAAGGGTAGCAAATGGGACAAAACAGGATATTTAAATTCAACGAAAGGTATTGAAGATATAAAACAAACAATTGCAGAAGCAGAAGTAAAAAAACAAGAAAACAAGACGCCAGAAAAGTGAAAAGGCATGTTTCTGTTTCATTTGGCATTTAGTATTTACTTATTTTATACAAAATGCAACGAGTCCATCATGGGCGTATCAAAGGGTGCATCATAAGTGCATGTATAAATTTTAAACATTTGCATATTATACAAATAAACAAGTTGTTATGGTGTCATATTTAAAGCCTGCTAAGTAAATAATTAAAATTATTAGGGAGCTATTTTCTTAAGGGGTCCATCATACGTACATTTTCCCTAGCGATTTGTCTTTTATAAATGGAGAGATAGTCTTTATATTAGATTTGTTTTATTTTTTATAATACTATTAACTATTACAAATTTAAATATTCTTATAATAAAAATTTTCTTATGATTTCAATTATTTATAGTAAAAATATATAATGCTTACCTGAAATATCCTTGACTATATTGGAATTATTTAAAAGTGTATTATCACCATAACTTGTTGTGTTGCTCATTTTTTTAACCTCCATAATTTAGTTGCAATTATTCTACAAAGTTTATTTACATTCACTGTCGACTAAACTTTTCTTGTTTGGGAACACATTTAACTGATTAGTTAATTTGCCATTTTACTACAAATACATTGCTAGTGATATCGCAAATCGATATCGCAATCGATAGCACTTGATAATACTAAGGTTAACTGAAATAATGCAGACTGTTATTTATAAACAAAAATAACGTAATAATAATAAAAGTATAAATTATGTTATGCTAAATAGAACAGGAAAAATTAAAATATAATCCGAAATTATTGAAACTAGTTTGATGACCGGATGGGAAGGTCAAATTCTTTAAGAGATTCTTCTTATTAAATTATGATTGTTTTGCTGTAATATAGGCAGTGGCGGCTGGTGACTCAAAAATTTGGTAGTTCTGCAGTATTTATTGGTTTTTTTTTTTAATTCAATATCTTTTAATCGTTGTATTTTACAACGAGGCTTTTAGTTTGATATTTTACACCATATATTTATTCATTATATATCTATTAAAAAATAATAAAGAACTTACCGATTTTCTTCTTTTCAAATTGAAGATAAATCCAATTATATCAAAAATAGCAATAGTACATTATGGCACACTAGTAATTGTTTTATAGTTTATGTTTTTAGTAGAATTTTATCGATGAAATACGCGAAACTAAGGAATGCAAACGAAAAAACACTACAAACAAAATCGCCACAACAATAATTGCATTATAGGGTCTTACGAACTAACTACACACAAAGCCAAATATATTATTTTTTTTTATAAATAAGCTCGATTCGTCGATTTTTTTTTAAAGCACACTTGTCTATAACTTTTTCATTAAAGTTTGGTATTTCTTTTATAAGTGTTTTTCCTACTGACAACATGGTTAATGCTACAAGTCGGTCTTCAGTCATGGAATTTCTCAAGAATGTTTTAATCCGTTTTAAACTCGAAAAGCTCCTTTCAGCTTCTGCCGTACTCATGGACACTGTAATTAGAATTTGAAGCAATTTTACAGTTTCTTGAAAAGGCTCTGTTAAATTATTTTCAATTAAAAATTTTAAAAAAGGTATTGCCCCATTAATGTCTCCACAGTCTCTTCTAAAATAAATAACAGATAATTCAGTCTTCAAGCGCTCCCTATCTAAATTTGGATATGACGCGCAAGTCAGGCTTAAATTATCATCTGGGAAATTATCACAATAATTATCAAATTGCTCAGGATAAAGCAATGAAGTTGCAAGTAGGTGATTTTTAAAAGCAAATCTATCATTTGCATAATTTATGATTATATCACGAACTTCAATAGATGCTCTCCGATGATCTACTGGACTGTTATCCTTCCGTAACCTTTTAGTTGGTAATGGTTCAACGCCTAAACTAGAACCTTGGTCAATGGTATCATCTATTGAATTTCTAACTGAATTCATGTATCTTTCGAAATCTGTCACCTTTTTATTGATTTCCAAAATTATCCGTTTTAGTCTTTTGAAGGGCATTATACAAAACGTCTACTTGTGGCCAAAATGCTAACCAAAAAACAATATTTTGATCCACTAGTATTCTTCGAATGGAAGACGCTGAACTACAGACAGCTGCCTTATCAAACGATTCTTCTATTTCTTCCATACATTCGATAAAAGAAGATCGATGTTCAAACACAACATTAACAGTTCGAATATTGTTCCAGCGAGTTGGAGCGCCATGAGGAATTTTCTTTTGGACGATTTTATCTAAAACTGCCACTCGTTGTGGCGAATTTTTAAAAAAGGTACGGATTTCATTTAAATTTCCAAAAAAAAGTCTAACTTGAGAGTTTTCGGAACAAGCCTTAGACATTATTAAATTTAATTGATGCGCGTAACAGTGTACAAAATGAGCAAATGGATATTTTTCTTTGATTCTGGCTTGAACTCCTGCGTGCTGTCCACACATGAACGCTGCCCCATCATAACTCTGAGCAATTAGTTTATTATTTGAGTTTTCCGGGATAGGATCCAAAACACTGAAAATGTGTTTGCTTAAAGTATCTGCATTTAATTTTGAAGGTACCAAATATGTCCAAAATCGTTCTACCCGTGCTCCATTTCGACAATATCCAAATACTACAGCCATTTGTGATTTTGCTGAAATTTCTGTAGTCTCGTCGGCCATGACAGCTAGATATGGAGATTCCCGAATTTCCTCCAAAATTTTATCCTGGCATAATTCCAACATGCAGTCCAAAATATCATTTTGAATTTCTTTAGAAATGCCCTTAAAAACCGTCCATTCTTTCAAGTGTTGTGCTAAAGTTCTATCCAATTCAGTTGTAAAATTTATGAGGCCGCGAAAAATTCCAGGATTGTCGGATGTTTGTGTCTCGTCGTGTCTCCGAAGCGCCAATTCGAAAACATTACAAAATTTTATGCAGTCTATAGTTTTTGAGAGAACATACCTATTTTTTGTTACAACTTCATTGAATTTTTGAATAGTTATCCAGTATGCAGAATCTAACTGTTCTTTAATATTCACGGAGCCTAATAAAGCATATTCCATTTGATTGTGCAAATGATGCTTAGAAGTTTCGTGCTTTTTTATTTTATCACTTAAATGTACTAAGTCTGTTACACCAACTTGCGTCCATGACTTATCACCTCCAAAGAGTACACAAGGAAAACAGAAAAGAGCGTTTTTTCTGTTGCAGCCACATATCCAACTATTTCTCGTATCAATATCGCAATTAAATTGTCGTTTGTAATTTTTCCCTCGACTTGATCCTTCTTTTTCGATTTTAATATCCGGCAAAGGACGTCCTTTGCATTTTAATTCTAGTTTTTCATCATAAGAATATTTAAAGAATCTCTTAACATTAATCAAATTATAAATAACATCCATCCTGAACAGCACTTTTATTCTCATATACTTAATAATATAAATACCGAATTACGTGCAGGACAACTTATTTTAACAGTTGTCGCGTCGCGATCACCGATTATTTAAAATTACAATAAACGTAGGTTTGTACACACTAGTTCGAACTGCGACAAATGCAGCTCAAATATTGCTTTCAGTCGTCGCCTGAAAAGTGTAGGCGAGGGGTTGAGCGGGTGTTATCGGGGATATCTTTAACAGTTCACAGCTCGGAGTAGCACCGGTCCGGTCAAATAAGTGGGACTTGCTGTCGCCATGAGATGCGACGGATGACAGATTAAAATAAAGGGGGCCATGCACGAAAACCATCTAAATGAATTTAGATTTTATGTGAAGTAGTGATATTTTTTATTTAATTTTCAAAGTAATTTTGTTTGGATTATTTTGGTGGTTCTGCAGCTCCGCAGCACTTATATACCAACCGCCACTGAATATAGGTATGTTAAGTTTAAGGTGAATAAAATTTGACTCATTTATTAAGGATGGCACAGGAATGATGTTTAAATTGGTTTTGTTTATTTGTTTTTTTAGTAGTCGGTGCTACTAACCCTAGGCCTTATGCAAGGTCCAATTCGCGTGGGCATGCTCCTAAACAAATTGTCAAGATTTTATTGTGGTAGGTTGTTCTTTTCTTCAAGAGCAGCTTGTACTAGCTGTACAGTGTTTTGTGAATTATGCCGGAGAGGTTTAACTCTTTTTTAAGTATATTTCACAAATGCTCTATAGAGTTAAGGTCGGGCGAGCAAGCAGGTCACCAAAGAAAGTGATATATTTTGCTTTAAGGATGTCTGTAGTGACTCTGCTAGTATATAGGCCAATGCTGGTATGCATTGTCTTGCACAAAAATTAAATTTGTTTTCACTGCACTTGTTCATAGTCTTACTACAGGTTCTAGAACCAAATCAATAAACCTGCAAGATAATAAAATTGGTTGAATGGAAATTAAAGGAGTTTTCTTACCGACCACATAACTTCCCTAAAACATAACACTTCCTCCATTATGTCTGTGAACAGATCTGGTGGTTTCCTTTCTTTCTTGTCTTTCTCGCCCTTTAAGTACACGAATTCATTCGTCATATGTCCTGAGTTGGGCTTCATCTTTTTTCTTCATTACCCAAGTTTCACATCCATAGGTTACTACGGGTATAATCAGTGTTCTGTAGATAGTCACTTTGGTTCTTTTGTCTAATAATTTCGATGTCATCAATCTTTTATTAGCATAGTATGTACGATTCCCGCTGAAAATACGTGCATTAATTTCGCTACTTTCGGAGTTCTTCGGATTGAATTCTGTGCCAAGATATGTAAAGGCATCCACTCGTTCGATAGTATAGTTGTCTATTGTGATATTATTTTCATTGTCAGTTATTCCTTTGACTGTCATATACTTCGTTTTTGCTTCGTTTATTTTGAGACCTCTTTTTCTTGCTTCAGGATCAATTTGTTTGAACACTTCCATTAGTCGTGGCTTATTCCTACTAATGATGGCTACATCGTCTGCATATGCAGTAATTTGTACTGATTTGGTATTTATATGGCCGGTTATATTGGTTTTTCTGATGACTGCCTCAAGAACTAGGTTGAATAGCATGGTTGATAGGGCATCTCTCTGTCTTACTCCCATGTTGATATTAAACAGGGGAGTCAGTTCTCCATCTACGCTGACTGCGGCTTTTGAACCCTGCAACGTCATTTTTATGAGGCTGATGTATTTCTTAGGTATACCTAGATTACAAAGGTCTTCCAGCATTCGGTCTCTTTTCACACTATTAAAAGCTTGTTTAAAGTCTATATACATATTATATAGGTCTATGTCGTATTTATAAGCTTTTTCTTGTATCGTTCTTAGTATGAATATATTATCTGTAGTGGCTCTATTTGGTCTGAATCCATTTTGATAATCACCAATTATATTTTCGGAGTATTGTAATAATCTATTGTAGATTATACCAGAAAGAATTTTGTATAATATATTTAGCAATGTAATTGGCCTATAATTCTGGCATTTCCTCTTATCTCCTTTTTTTATATATTGGCTGTATGAGGCCAACTGTCCATTCCTCTGGCATTTGCTCCTTCGTCCATATTAATGTTATTAGGTAATGGATTCTTTCCCAGAGTTCGGATTCTCCATGCTTTAATAATTCTGCCAAAATTCCGTCCGTTCCTGGTGCTTTATTGTTTTTTTAGTTTATTTATTATCTGAACTACTTCTTCATAACTCGGATTTTTTATGTGCAGCTCCGCCGTATTATATATTGTCTCGTTCTGATCATTTTCGTTGTCTGCATTTAGATTTTTTTCGAAATATTGTTTCCATCTCATTATAATTTTTTGCTTCTCTGTTAGTAGTTCTCCGTCCTTGTCTTTGCATATCGTTAGTTTTGGTCTAAATGAATGTGTGCTTTCTTTTATGCATTTATAGTATTTTCTGCTTTCGCGTCTGTTGTTATGCTTTACGCATATTCTAGTCGCTTGTATTCTTTTTTCGTTATAAATCTCACTGCTATTTCTTGTGTTTCTTTGAAGTTGGTTAAGCCTAGCTTGCCTTTTTTCCTCTACTACAGCAAAACTTAAAACATAAAAGTAAAAAATATGCGTACTACAGAAACAGATTTTTCACCTAAACTTTGTCACCCAAAACACTGCCTATCATCACAATGAATAGTTTTACCTTTTTACTATGTACACAAATAATTTGACTGATACTGTTTTATATTCTTACTGCATTATCTCGTTAAATGCGTTGATATGGCAATTTTAGTCATAAATATTAAAAAATATTATAAATATTTCCTAATTAAAATGTTGCCATTTTTATCAAAAACAGTTTTTAAATATGTTCAGATATTAATAAGAGTTATGCAAAAGCAGAGATATAGTGTTGTTAATTAGCTAGTCATTAATAACCATGAAAAACATAGATATCTGCATTAATTAGGAATAATTATTAAATATATATGTACACTTTTATATAAAATACAAAGAACATGATTGTTTATAGATTAACCAGACACTTTAAGAAAACCATAAATTATATTATTTTAACCAAAATTCAAATATAGTACAAAGTCACAGTACCTAAGGATATTTTTCAATGCAGTTACCTTCCACCGCCAAACGTCCTTCAGTTTCGAGAACAGATGATAATCAAATGGCGTGAAGTCTGGACTGTAGGGAGGCTGCTCGAAAATTTCCCATTGTATAATGTTGGAATTCGTGCTAAGTTCTTAGAAGAATCCGAGTTTTGCCTCCCATTACAATGCAGTCGAGAAATTTTTTACCATCATTGTCATATTGGGACAAGATATCAAGGGCAATTTGTGGAAAATAGTCATACAATGCGATTAGGAAAAAGGGGTATTATTAAATACCCATCAGGCTATTTATGGAGCTAAAAAGAAAAGAGGAATCTTCGAAGAAGAGGAAACAGTCGAAGGTGTCGGTTTCTTTATTTACAAAATAATTTCCAACAGAATTGTGGTAATAAACCAATTCACACCAAGGGTGGTCTATTTAATTACCAAAATAAGTGCAATTATGTCATAAACTAGGATATCCAGGATATGTATTCTAAACCAGGTGCAATAAAATGTCCAGTAGAAAACAATTACCCCAAAGAAATTAGAGAGTCGATTCAGGATAAAAGAAAGGCTCGAAAGGTATGGCAGGGGACTCGAATAACTCAAAATAAAATTAAGCGAAACAGGCTCACACAACAGCTGCAAAGAGAAATCGCTATAATTAAAAACTTATCAATCAGTAAGTACCTGAAAGAACTAACTGATGATTAATGCACCGATTACTCCCTCTGGAAGGCGGCCAGAAAAATAAATAAGTCAACATCGGTAAAGGGGATTAATATTTGTATTATCCAAGAGGAAAACTTAGCGGATAAAGGCAATGGGGCGTTGAGACATAAAAATTATGATGATTTTTATATACACGAAGACATAACATTTTCAAAAAACAGTGATCTGCATATCTTAACTAAGGTTAATTTAAGGCTAATCAATAGATAATCGGTCCCCTTAAATTATGTATATAATGTACTTAAACTTCTTCTCTATACATAAAGCAGATTGAATATTGGCATTTATTTAAAATAAATAAAAAATTTTAACTGGCACTTACCTATAAAATAAATTGTACACTAAACTGATTAACTATAACTGTTGATTTGAAAAGTATTTCTACTTCAGTATTTACTATAAAATCTTAATTTTTATTATGCAGAAGAAATATGCATTTTCAATTAGTAATTAATGCGCATAAAACGCATAAGTGGACAGGGACGCATTTAGATTGAGGTAAAATGATATCCGGCTTTAGGTTTATCTTTGCAATAGATTTTTTAAACTCCGGTTTATAATATACTCAATGTTAGAATACACTCAATTTTGGGAGCAAACCTTAAAAATGTTGTGTTGGCAACAATGACAGCAAGTTCCTGTCTTCAGTAACAACTGTCGTGTGTCATAAGCTAATAAAATAAGTCAAGTGTGAAAAAACGTATGACGCCTTTTTATATCTGTAACATAACGCCTAATACCTGGACTTATACATAAAGAAGGACCGGGCTATTTACATCTTTACATGAAGCCATGAGATCGTCACAGTCATAGACACAAATCCGTAATTTGACGTTGTCATATTATTTTTTTTTTCCAAGTCAATCTTCGACATAATTTTCGATTTTTAGTATAATTAATTTTTAATTTATAAATAAAAATGTATTATATAGTTAGTATAAACTATTTTTCGATATACTCATTTCGCAACCAAGCAATTATAAGAAAAATATTAATTTTTTAAAATCATGAATGTGTTGCTTGTGTGAGTCCATTTCAAATAGGTAAAGAAATAATAAATAAGACTTACTCACAATCAATTTAATTTAACTATCAGACGACCGGTTTCGTTTTCTACAAGTCTCATCTTCAGGTCTCGATACAAAGTTAAATAAATGCTGAAATAATAAAAACCCATATTAGGGTGTTGTCTAATAAAGATAAACAAAGTAGATGTTGGAAGTTACAATAATTATGCCAATATTACATGTCTGTGGTTTTATTTCAAAAAGAGTAAGTTGAATAAAAAGGTATAAAAGTTTTAAAAGTTTAAACAGACAAGGTAAGGCCCACAAATTGTTATAAAATAGTCTATTAGTGAATTTAGCGAAGAGTTATGTAATAATCAAAGCAGTGATATTTAGACATCATCGCAATCTGTTGCATTCTGTGCTTCGAGTGAGTATTTGTCGACATCTAATAACATAGAATGGCACGCTGATTCAGTTCGGAGCTATACATCATTATATTAATGATAGCTCAAACCTAATAAACAAAAGACACTTTGTGGACCCAAGGTCAATACAGTTAGCAGAAAAATGAAAGTTTATGGAGGCATCCTGTGTCGGGGACTTAAAAGTAATAAGTGAAGTGAATAACAAAGAAGCTGTTATTACTATTAAAAATGTGCTGTGTGTACCTGGTTTACGAGCAAATTTGTTATCAATATCAACAATTGAAAAAGCTGATTTTGAAATAAAATGTTTTAATAATAAAATTGTCATTAAAAGAAGTAAATGTATTTATGCTGAAGGTAATAGAGGTAATAATCTATATAAAATCATTTTTAAGCATTGTAATTCTGAGTATGCAAACTTAGCTGGACTTAGCTATAGAGCGGCAGTATTTTAATTGGAAAATATTCTATCGGGCCATAGTAATTGCTTTCGCTTGTGTTGTTAATAGTTAGTAGGTAGTTTAACCATATACAAAACCATTAGAAAACCATTAGAAATTAGACGTGGCATTTATGTCACCGTTCAAAACTTATTACACGCAGGACGCAGGAGATCGCAAACTGTCATAGACTTCATCCAGGACGTGTTTTAACAGGCTATCAAGTATGGGAACTTTATGAAAACGTTTACATAAAAGCAGCTCCCATGGATACAACAATTAACGGGTTTAAGAAAACTGTTATGTTTCTACTTAACAGAAAAGAATTTAAAAATGGGATTTTGTGGCAGAAATGCACGAAACAGTTGAAGAAAGAATATAAGAACAAATAGTTAATAAAGAAGCAGTGGAAGAGGAAGTTTTCAATGAAGAAAAATGTACCAGAAGAAAAAACCAGTGAAAAACAGGTTACTCCTATAGATTTTATGCCTGTTCCAACAACTTCTAAAAATACCCTAAAAAAAGGAGTATAAGAAGTGGAAAAGCTGCAATTGTAACAAGCACTCCATACAAAGAAAGGAAATTACCTTTAACTTTTAAAAATAATTAAAAATTAAATAATTAAAAAACAAAAAACAAAAAAAAAACTAAACCTGCGCAACAAAAAAAATGTCAGTGATTTTCAATTTATTTAACAGAAAATTTCTTTTTGTTACATGTATTATTTTCACAAATAAGTAGTTTTAATCCAAAAAACCACAAAATAATTGAATTTATTTTGAAATTTTACATTGTAAATATTAACTCATGTTAGGATTACCCTATACCTCTAATATGGGGTAGAAAACCTTTTTTAAATACTGCCTATTTCCTTTTGTATTTTTTTAAGCTATATATTTTTATTAAATGCTTAAAAAGTTCCCAAGAAAATCTTATTTGAAAATAGTGCCTAAAATTAATTACATTACTATTTTACAGAGTTTTTAAACAAAGTACTCTATATTAGGCGACTTTCCTCTACCTACATAAAAACAGGAAGAGATTTTAAATAGATTTGCTACTAATATTTTGGTTTTTTTTTTAATTATTAAGGAATAATCCAAAGGAACGTATCAACCAAGAATTGAATATATCTGGTGTAATTCTTGAGATTTTTCAAACATAAATTGCTTTTTTAATCTCATAAAAACATAATATTTTAAATTTATTTATATTTTTTCTAATTAAATTTACTATGTTCTACAATAATTTATATTAAAATTGTTTATATAAAAATAGTAGGACTGTTGACTATTATAAAATTGCATCTAGATGAACAATAAATTTTTACTTACATTTTAAAGTTTATACGAATTCTCTCTTCGAAGTTTAGTATTAGGATAACAGAAATGCTTACCCGTAGAATGTTTGATATTCTATGGGTTAAAGGTGGTTAGACGAATTACCGAGCCATTATAGTGGCGTTGTTACAGTTTCCTTTCGCAATGTTTCAGTTGTGTCTAGTAACTGTTACAAAGATGGCGCTATACGTTAGGCTAACTGCTTTAACAATAATAGATATACAATTTATTATAATAAACATAATAATTACATTATTCTCTTAAACTACTATGTCATATTGTTTGTTTCAAGATATTAAAATTAATTATTAAAGTAACCAAATAAAATATTTAAAACAAATTTTGAGAAAAATGTATATCTAGATACTTTTGGTAAACATTTATAGAATTTTTACGGAATAAGGTGAAGTAAGTACACGCACACGGATATACAGGAATCTCAAGACCTGAATAAATAAATAACGAGAATTTATGGGAGTTAAGCATGCAGTAATAGATGACATTAAAACCAAACAATAGATTTTCGTTTTGAAATGTACTACTCTATTGAAATTAAATCTTACCGTCTTTTTCATAAAACCAAACAATTCCAATGGTATGTTATAGCTTTATGTATAGATTAATTAGATGGGTAAAACACCTGAATCAATTCCATGTTAATAAATAATGGTACCGATATAGTTCCTACATAAATGGTCCCTACATGAGTGGCTGGCAACTAAGCAACTAAGTAATTTTAAGTATTTATTAGGAGCTGAAATAATTTATAAAAATCTTTTGTAATAAACATTCTAGGTATACCTAAGTACGTTTACAAAGTTCGATGAAAACTAATTTTTATCTAAAATAAATAAATTAATAATAATTAATTAACAGAAAAAATTGTCAGCCAGACAATACAGCAGGAAAGACATTATTTTATGTAAATATATGTAAGTATTCAAATTCCCAAATCTTGTTAGTAAGGATGGTATTTAGATAAATTAGTTAACAAATTAGTTAAATATTTTAAAACAATAATATGAAATACTTCTAATAAATTATATTGTATTACGTACATAAAAATATTATATTTAGTCTGACTATTAGCGTCACCTATTAGCCAATTTAGAGACGAATAAAAACAGTAAAACAGAAAGTTGTAACGGAGCCGTTAAAGTTGGAAACTGTAACGAACCTCAAAACACTCATCAAATCGATGGAGAAACTGATCAACTTGTATTTCTGTTATCCTGATACTAATTTTTGTGCAAGATATTTCAAAAATTTGAATGTGGAGCAAAGCAAATATTTAGAAAGTGACCACAATTTTTTAGGTTTTAGGAAATGCAGAAGTGTCTGATAATAGATACTCATCGATTAATTATTAAAAAAAAAAGTTTAATCTATGCAATTTTGGCAAAATTTTTTTTATCTACCTCTAGAAATACTTTTTCAGTCATCAAGATTTACTGTAAGTAATCATTATCTTCAAATTATCTGGGCGAGTAATATGGTATGGTAACATATCATCTGCCATTATCTGGACGTATCTAAAGTTCCTCCATGTCTTCACCTGTCGATTGCTGATTTTTGCATTCAATTTAAAGAACATTTCAATAGATTCAAGAAGTTTCAATAAGTAATAATGATGAACATTTAAGTCTCAGTTTCTCATTAAATAATAGTGCGAGATAGTTAATCCACTTAACCAAGTGCGGTTTGGTTGAATTTTTATGTTTCCATTTCTGTAACCTTTTTGTATTTTTGTAAATTTAGAATTGATTAATTTTTGTTATCTTTTGTGTTAGTTATAATTTTTGTTCATTTTTTTTACTGTAATATCTCGAGGTACGCCAAAACTTTATTTGTACATAATTGTATTATATATCTTTGTAAAGGTATTTTCCAATTATATTACTGCTTATTTTTATGTATATACCACCATTTTATAGTTGTTGGGGACTTTTATTACTTGTGTTGCATTCAGCAGCATCATAATTTTCTTGTTAAAAATATTGTTATTGTTTTATGTATGTATTTTATTTGTCGGCTCCTAACAAGTTCCCTGATAAAATAGTAACTCTGAGCATTTGCTTTTTACCTTTAATTATGAAAGATCAGGCTGATTAAGTTACGTAGGTAAGTAATATATTTATTATTTGTTTATATAATGTGTTGACCAAATTTATTTAA